CTTTGTTTTGGTCAATTTGATCGTCCACACCGATAGACAGTATTCAGAAAGAGACAGAGAGAGAGAAGAGGGGAGGAATAGATCTTGCGAGAGCTTCCGGGCAAAACAAAATGGCAACCCCCGTAGTTCGGCTTGATTCGAAAAGTGAAATAGCTATAGCATCTTTGAAGTCAATAAAATTAGCTTACTTTTGTGCAATAACGTAATCTTTTCTTTGCCTTTATCCATTTGATCATCCACATCGATAGAAAGTATTCCGAAATTAGGAAAAACAGGTTTTGTTTCACACCGGGTGAGAAAAGCCTACGCTGGCAAGTCTCACCCGGGGTGAGAGGTCGATCGTATTTCTATTCTCGCCCCAGGTGAGAATAGCCACTTCCTAAAAAAACGAACTCTTTTTATCAATTTTTGTTGTTGTTGAAGAAGACAACTCGGGTCTAAAATTAAATTCTCACTTCCTTATTTCTGTAGAGCAGCTAGATCTATACTCTCTGCCCTGCCTCTTCACTTCACTTCTCAGTACTCAGTAGCCTACATGATGTTGTGTGTAACTCGAGATTCCAAATTCCACTTTTATCAATTTTTATTGGTAAATCTGGAATCTAGTGTTAATTGCGACAGAGTGACTCTGTGACAACTAACGGGGCGTTAATTGCGACAGAATGAACACGGAGATTTTTTTTATGTTGATGATTAGAATCTAACATCATCTAGACTCTAGATCTACCGCCATTTCCACTTCGCTTCCCAGTGTGGTGGTCTTAGTTATCTAATCTCTGCCTGACAAAGAAGGCTTTCTAGAACAGGCATTCAAATCTTATGACGAATTTTACAAAGCTTTCGCTAAATTTAAAGATGAAAATTTGTTTTGCCTTTAGGAAGAAATCATCTGAAACAGTTGAGAAGGTGAACTTAAAGTTTTTGTGGCAAAAATCCACAAAGACTTTCTGTACAATAGAGTTGACTTTATAATCTGTACACATTATAGACAGCCCAAATATTGAGGCAACAATAATTTAATATTATTACCCAGCAAACCATCAGCAACAGCAACAAAAACTACTAGGAGTAGCAACAACAGTAATATAATATTATGACAACAACAAGAAAAGACAAAGAGCTGCGACTGTCTTTGTTAGTTTGGCATGTGTGTGTGTGTCATGTGTGTGTGTATGTGCATGCGTGTAAGGCACAAGCGTGTTCGATGTGCGTTTGTGTGTGTGAGTGTGTGTGCATGTGTATGTGTGTATTTGTGTGTGTGTGTGTGAAAAAGAGAGAGTATGTGAGTGCGTGTGTGTGTGTGTGTGTGTTAGCATTCTTTTTTCTTTTAACTTCTTTTTTTTTTGTCACAGCGTCACTCTGTGGCAATTAACGCTACCGTTTATTTACCATCATCATCATCATTGCCTTTCTCACCCTGCTCCAGGGTATAGGCTACGGACAAACGCCTTCCACTTTTCTCTATCCTGGGCTAGCCTCTTGATCTTTTTCCGTGTCTTCCCACTTTTCTGTACATCGATTTCTGTGATTCTTCTCCAGGTTCCCTGCAGTCTTCCCCTTGATCTCTTACCCTGTGGGTTCCAATCCAAAACTTTCTTTGTTATAGCACTCAAAATGATTCCCACTGCTTCTGCATGGTACTTGTCTTCCCTCCCAGAATACAATACTTTGTTCCCCCTAGCTGAGCTGCTCCTGTCCAGACTATATCCAGTGTGTTTCGCTGACTCCTAGTATGTGCAGCGTGTATCTCTTCATCTCTTGTACTACTTGAGAACTCTTTGCTGCTTCATACAAGGTGCGAACATTCCACGACGCAATCCGCAGAGACTTGTTCGACAGAGAAGGTTTCGGGTCAGAAGAGTCCTTTCGGCTTTGTCCGCTGTCCTTCATTGTTCCTGCTGATGAAAGCTCCTCCGTCTCCCAAAATCGAAAAATAAAACTGTGTTTGTCCGTGTTTCTGTAACTTACAGTTTTTTACTGGGTTGGGTAGTTGGACCTCCGCAAACTGGCACTTTTCGGGCGACCAGACCTATGCACTTTTAGTCGCCTCTTACGACACGCAGTATCACGGCAGGTGTATTCTTTGCTCCCCCATAGTAAAACTACGGGGCCCCCCCACCTGCAGGGGTGATTTATTATCTTGCCAGAGAGTTTATGAATAGAGAGCAGAAAATACTTAAATAGGTCTTGTTGTCCGTGACAACAACAGTGCATAAATTGGGAGTGTGGCTACTGAAAATAGGTGAGAAGCAAGCTGAAAATTACCAAAAACGCGGATCATCGAAGGGTGTCTAGCTTTCTGTGCTTAGTGAAGACAGAGAGCTGGCCAAGATTCCGGTTGTGAACAATATGACAAGACATGACAATAAACTCTTCTGGTCTTCAGCTACATTTTAAAAGTGTCTTTGACTACATGACATGACGGGGGGTCAAAAGTGGCTTCACTTAGGGTGGAGATCCCAAATTTTGCGTAGGGTACTAGTTCGAAGAGCGTAAGTTCCAAATTGGGGGTGGGGGGGGGGGGGGGGCTTTTAACTGTTAATGTTAGATTCTCTTTAGATGCTGTTCTTATAGTATAGTCATGCACAGTGAAATTTGAAGGAGAGAGTGAGCCCAAAGAAGGAGTTGGAAGGAGAGATGTAATTTTGGGGGAAGGGGGGGGGGGGGTGCATGGTACAGAGAAGAAAAAGATAATTTTGATATTGATGTAAATTAATACAAGTTGTATCATGTAATTTTTGAACTTATCACTGCTCCTGTTTGTTCTCAGAGATGCGCAGCTGTAAGAACAAGGACTTCGAAAACTTCTTCATTGTGCACCAAGTGACCTTTCACCCAGACTATATATTGTCGTATTGTTGTGCTGGAAACGGCCTGCAGAAATCTATGTGAAAAGTCTGTGTTTGTATTTAAAAGCTGGCGAGGAAGTACTCGCGGGACAACGTAATGTTCAACAAGGCTGTAGTGAATCACAGCGGCATCTGCACTGTGGCACTTTTGCTTTTATTCTATGAGCTTACTGCAATGGTTAGGTGCACTGAGCATCTACCACAGGACAGTTACGACAATAGTGAGATCGGAAATAGTCTGAAGAAGTCTCATTTCCGTAATGCGGTTGTCAACGGGAAGAATGTAATAGTTGAAAGTTTCAAAGTAAGTGATGATACCCATCGCAGTGTTGGAGATGTGTCATCTGTTGATGATAGACGAAGTGATGAAGGATTTATTGCTGTGTCAGATCAAGTGGCGAGTTGGTCTCAACCAAGATTTCCTGTAGAAACAGTCATTGTCGATGCTGAGTTTGATCAGAACTATGGAAACTGGACTGTGAATAGGACATCGCAGATTCTCTTTGTCTACAACTACACGGAGACCGTGAACAAGGTGAGTCAGTGGGTGGTTGGCGGGTGCTCTGGTGTGGTTTGCTCCTTCTTTTCTATCACCAAACATCTGTCGTCCTTTTGTCTCCCCTCCTTTTTTGTGTATGTTACTTTCTTATAATACCTAATCTATTCTTCAGCATTTATATGACCTTATTGTGTTGCAAGTGCCGTACAAAAACTGTCACTAAAACTAAAGGTGTGTCAGTTTCTCTTTTCGTTGTTGTTGTTCGTCTTGTGTGTTTGTGTGGCAAGTGAAGCAGTCCAACCTCCCCCAATGTCTTTCCCAAACTGTTGTCAGTGCCTGTGTTTGTTCTTGGTTATCCACCTTGTCTTCGTCCTTATTCACATATTACATCCTCCTCCCCAACTTTTTCTTCTTCTCCACCCGATCCTTTTTGGGCTAGATCCAGGGTGAGGGGTTGGCGGGTGCTCTGGTGTGGTTTGCTCCTTCTTTCCTCTAAAAAATCTATCGTCCTTAGGTCTCTTCTCCTTCTTTTTTGTGTTTGTTACTCTCTTGTAGCACCTCTAATCTTCGGCACTTATATTATATGACCTTATTTTGTTGCAAGTGCTGTAAAACTCTTAAACTAAAACACACACACACACACACACGCGTACACGCACACACACACACAGGCGTTTGCTCACACACACACACCCACACACACACACACACACACACACATTCACACATTCACACACACACAGGCGTTTGCTCACACACACACACACACACACACACACACACACACACACACACACACACACACACACACACACACACACTGACACACACACACACCCTTCCATACATACACACTAGCAGGCACACTCATACACTTATATAACTTTGTACATGAGTGAGTATGTAACTATGTTGATCGTGTGTTGATTGTATGATTTACTAATTTTATGATGAGGCATATTATGTTAGTCTAATAAAGTTCCCCCTTGGGCTTTACTAAATGAATGGGGTAGAGCCATTTTTTGATAGGTTACAAAAAATTTGTGTGTAAAGGAATTCAGAGGTGATGCATAAGAAATTTCAAGACTTGATAATGGAAAAGCTGGATAAAAACAGAGGTGATAAAACTATTTAATTTTCACTTTTGTTTCATTTCCAGACGACAGCAGTTCGAATCCGAGTTACGTGTTCTAATGCTACAGAGAACTACCCAGTGATGTTTGTTGCTCGGCAACAAGAAGGAATTCTATCATGGAGGGTGCCTTTGGAGATTGGAAAAGGGTGATTTTTAAAATAATTTTTAATTTCTTCTTTTGAATTTTTTGGTTGCCTTTCAAAGGCAAATATTTTTATCGTCAATTATTGCAGTTGTAGATTTTCAAAGGCTGATTTCACAATTACGGTTTTTCTTTCTTTTTTGGTCTCAAAAGCCACAACCGATGGTTTTAGTTGTAAGTTTTTGAAGTTGGAGATACTTTGTTGGTTTTTGGTTCTCGGGTCATTTGCCAGTCCATGTTTTTATGTTGTCCATCCATGTTACTCTTTGTCTTCCCCTGGCTCTCCTGCCCCACTTCCTTCCTTCAAGCACTTCTCTCACATTGGTCTTGTGTCGTTTTAAGTAGCCACATACATGGTGACATGGTATAGGTTTAACGCCCCTATCAATGCTATTGGGTTATTTAAGAGTCGGGACCTCAGAGTTTAACGGCCATCTCCGAAAGGACCGAACCAAGTGGGAAATTCGTGTAAAGTGCCTTTCCCAAGGACACAGCGTCGGACCGAGCTGAGGCTCGAACCCCTGGACGAGTCCAGTAGCCTAACGTTTAACCACTAGGCCACCTTTTAGTAGCCAAAGTATTGTATTTTTCTACATTGGAAAAATCGGAAAAACTCCAGTACGTCACAGAAAGTGGTCCCCCAGGGCGGTGCCACTGATTGAAGTGTTTTAAGGCCATTCCCAAAGGGGGGACATTTCTCGTTCTTATGCACAGTAGAATTGTAAATGGGCTGATTCAACAATGTCACGCTCATAACTGTGCCTGAACGATCCAGTAGCATCTGAGCGTTAACTCTTCTGCATTCTGTGCCTGAAGTACAACAGGGAAATGCTGCTTTTTCTTTCCTAATCCTTTCTATCTTCATTTTCCTCTACGTCTTTTGTATGTTTGTCTCACTCTTGTGACCCACTATTTCCGGGGTGCTTTGATGGTCAAAGCAGACTTTGTGCTGTTGAAACTAGAGAGGTGAGCAGAGTAAGTCCGATTCCCTGTAAAGACTTCTCTGTTGACATCTTCATATGGCCTTGTGCAGTTGCGAGAGCCGTAAAACTTTACTATAAAAAAAAAAACACCAGAAAGTGGCCATCAGTCCAGGTGACTGTTTAGGCAGATTTGACTGTTGTCTCTCTAACTGCTCTTTAGTGGGTGGTTGGCGGGTGGTCTGGTGTGGTTTGCTTCTTCTTTCCTATCAAACTACTATCGTCTTAATCTCTCCTCCTTCTTTTTTATGTTTTTTCCTCTCTTGTAACACCTCTATTCTTGGCACTTATATGATCTTATTGTGTTGCAAGTGCGGTAAAACCTCTACTAAAACAAAACAAACAAACTACTATCGTCTTTATCTCTACTCCTTCTTTTTTATGTTTGTTACTTTCTTCTAACCTCTAATCTTCTTGGGCTGATATGACCTTATGCAGTTCGAGTGCCATAAAACCTCTACTAAAACCACCAAAAAAAACTATTTAAAAAAACGACTATAATCTTTATCTCTCCTCCTTTTTTATGTTTTTTACTCTTGTAACACCTCTATTCTTCGGCACTTATATGATCTTATTGTGTTGCAAGTGCCATAGAATTTTAACTAGAACTAAACTAGGGGCTCTTTTGGCCTAGAGGTTAAGGTGTTGTCTCTCTTTCAAAGGTCCCGGGTTCGAATCCAGGTAGCGACCGAAAAATTTTCTTCTCCAAAATTGTCTCCTTTCACCTCCTTTCCTACTCTCAAACAATGATCTGTCGTCTGTTTTCATCTCCTCTTTCTGTCCCCACCCCCTCACCTCCTTTGCCCCCTCTTCTGGGCTCATGACTGTTTCTGCAGCCTTTCTACTGCTGCTCCGTGGCTCCTTCTTACTGTTGTCTTTCTGCCTCACCCCTGATCTTCTAGTAGGAAAGATCTACACCTACCCTTCTCGGACAAGGGCGAAAAATCTTGGAGGGCCTGTGTGCAAGTTGCGCATGTTAAATAGCCCTTGGTGGTCTAAAATCAATAAGAGTAGGCTTCGACTGCCACCCGGGCAAAATTCAAAATTTCCTACCAACTGAAAATGTTAAGTGTGTCTCCCGTGCTCATATATGACCTTATTCAGTTGCAAGCGTTGTACGCGTAAAACACTTACCAAAAAATAAATTTATAAAACGAAACTAACTGCTCTTTATTTTGCAGCTACTCCTTCTGGTCGGTGAGTCGCACGCTGTGTCCCCTGGACAGGGAGCATCGGCAGATCATTGTCAAGGAGCAGCTCATTTATCTGACGGTGTCGACAATGGCCTTCAACAACCGAGACTTCAACCTGACGGCACAGCTGTTACAGGACTTTGAGCTAGAGTGGGTGAAACCTCACAGTGTGTTTGGCTCTGTTGTGTGTGGATGTGTGTGTGTGTGTGTGTGTGTGTGTGTGTGTGTGTGTGTGTGTGAATGTGTTTGTGTTTGTGTCATAACTGTTACAGGACTTTGAGCTAGAGTGGGTGAAACCTTACAATGTGTCTGGCTCTGTTGTGTGTGGATGTGTGTGTTTATGCGTATGTATATAAGGAGTCCACTGAAAAAACGTGCATAGTCACAAACTGGAAATTGTGAGGGTGTCAATTTTAAAATATTGTGGACTCATAACTTCATATTTGTTTCATCATCAGTGCCTTTCACCCCTGGCTGGGTAAAGGCCACATACAAGCTCTTTCCATTTATCTCTGTCCTGGACCGTCCTTCCAAGCTGGTTCCAAGTGAGCTTCATCTCTCTCATGTCCCTTTCCACGCATCTTCTCCATGTTTCCCGTGGCCTACCCCTGCCTCGTGCTCCTTGTGGGTTCCACTGCAGTGACTGTCTTGTGATGTTTCCGCTGGGCTTTCTTAAGGTGTGTCCCATCCATCGCCACATTCTTAGTCCTATTTCTACTTCAATATCCTTTTGTCCTGTCCTTTCCCACAGCTCTTCATTTCTTATTCTATCCTGCCACTAAATTCTTAGAATACTCCTCATACATCTGTTGATGAAAGTCTGGACTTTATTCAGTATTGTCTTCGTTGTCTTCCAAGTTTCACAGGCATAGAGGAGCACAGACTTGACGTTTGAGTTAAAGAGTCGAATCATGGTCCGCAGTGAGATGGTGCTTGCTTTCCAGACTTTTGACAATTGCTTGAAGGCTGACCTTGCCTTGGCGGTTCTTGCTTTAACATCTGCCTTGGTTCCACCTTTACTATCGATGACACTTCCAAGGTAGGTAAAGGAGTTCACTTCTTCCAGGGGAGTGTCTTCCACTGTCACAGCAGGGCTTGAAACTTTTCCCAGCTTCACTACTTTTGACTTGCCTGGATGTATACGTAGGCCAACACTCCTTGATAGGCTGTTGAGTTCCTGGGTCTTTTCTTGCATCTGAGCATGTGTGTGAGAGAGCAGTGCAAGGTCATCGGCGAAGTCCAAGTTGTCCAGCTGCCAAGCATCCTTTTCGCACTCCTGTCTGTACCTGGAATGGTTCTGAGAGTTGTCCTCCATGGAAGACTTGGCAGTTTGTTCCATCATAGGTGGCCTTCGCAAGCTTGACGATTTTCTCAGGTATTCCAAAATGCCGCATGAGTTTCCACAGTTTCCTTGTCAACGCTGTCAAACGCCTTTTCATAGTCAATGAAGTTGACTACGAGTGGTAAATTCCATTCATATTTGTTTGATTGGTGGTTTATTTTACATATTTGTTAGATGGGAAATCTAACAACAATAATGAGCCAATAGCTGAACAGAAAAATACAGTTGTAAGTCAACAAGTGTTCAAAATTGATACCCTCACGATTTTCCAGTTTGTGACTATGCCCGTTTTTTCAGTGGACTCCTCATATATTTGTGTGAGTGTCTCTGTGTGTATGTGTGTTTGTGCGTGCGAATGTGTGTGTGTTTGTATCATAACTGTTACAGGACTTTGAGCTAGAGTGGGTGAAACCTCACAATGTGTTTGGCTCTGTTGTGTGTGGATGTGTGCGTTTGTGTGTATGTACGTGTGTAAAGTGTTTATGTCTGCATATGTGTGTGTATGTGTGTATGTGTGTTTGCCCGTGCGAATGTGTGTGTGTTTGTATCATAGTTGTTGCTGGACTTTTGGCTGGAACGTGTGGAACTATGTAGTGCTTTTGGCTGTGTTGTATGTATATTATATGTGTGTATGTATATGCGTGTGTTTGTGTGTCTGTAACTATAAAAAAATAAGTTCAATATCATCAGCAGCCCCCCCCCCCCAAAAAAAATGATGTTGATCTTGTGGGAAAAAAAAAAGACTAAAAAGTATATTGAACTTGTTTGTTTTTTCCACATAACTACAACAACAAAATTTTGGTCTTGTGCCATTATTTAAGATAGCAAAAAATGTTGTGATCTTGTACAAAACAGTAACGAAAACACCCCCCAACCCAACTTAACATTTTGATTGGAACAAAACTGGAAAACTCCGGTTGGCGGGTGCTGTGGTGTGGTTTGCTTCTTCTTTCCTATAAAAAATCTATCGTCCTCATCTCACCTTCTTCTTCTTTGTGTTTGTTACTGTCTTGTAACACATCTAATCTTCTGGCGCTCATATGACCTTATGTAGTTGCGAGCACCGTAAAACCTCTACTAAAACTAAACTTAAAAAAAACAAAAAAACTTTCATCGAGTGCTCAGTGTAAGGACAACCCCCCCCCTCATGTCACATTCCAAAACAGTGTTTTGCCGAGCCTTTTCACAAAGCGGTCAATTTTTTCTTTCCATTCCAGGCACGCGAGAGCCAAAACATTCTCGGTGGCAGCGTCCAGACCCAAGTACTACATGTACACCTTCCCCGAGAACGTGGAGACTGTACTGTTGAAGGTCACGTCACCCACGGAGACCTGCATGACTGTGTCTGTGCAGACTGTCAAGGTAAGACAATACTTTTCTTTACTTTACTTTTATTCACCGCTTATACCCTTTTGGGTGTCGCGGAAAGAAAGAAACGTCTCTCTTTCCCCAGCCGGAGAGCTTGGATCAGGCGGATGCCGTGGGTGGTTAATGTTTCCTTGAGTCGATTTATCCAGGTCTTTCTATGTGGCCCTCTAGCCTTGTTGCCATCAAGTGTTTTTATATAGGCACATTGTGCTGGATGGTGTGTTGGTAATCGCATGAGACTAAAACACTAACATACTGGCAAGATCTTTCGCTGTCTATTGCCGGGTACCCATTTCCACCTTGGTGAAGTGAGGAAAATTCGTGTAAGGTGCCTTTCCCAAGGACACAACGTTGGGCCCACGGCTCGAACCCCCGACCCCGCAACCTCACGATTACGAGTCCGGTAGCCTAACCACTAGGCCACCGACGCCACGCTCATCACTTGTTCTATGCTAAGGTACCGGTTGTATGTACTCGAGAAATGTTTAGTAGAAATTCAAATTTTAAATGTTGAAAAAAACAAGAAAAGATATAAAGTCCATTGCCCACAAGCTGTCTAAATACTGATATTCAAATGTTTGTGGCCACCAGTGCTCTCTTGGGCAGCATAATTGGTCGCTTTTAAGCAGAAGGGGGCTATCCCGAAAAATGCTGTTTTGAGAAAATCAAAGGTAAAGTTTTGGACCCTTGTTTAGTTTCTCTAAAATACAAGGAGAGTTTTCTCTATAGCCAAACTAATATGCACACTGGTGAAACCAAACTTCTCCTATAGGTAGGGATTGCCCTACTTTTGGTGTAGGTCAAGATTTCTGGAAACCCCATGAAATCTGGGTTAGCCCGCTTGTCCTTAAAAGCAACCAATTATGAGAGCTTTATGGCCTCCTGCATGGGCACATGATGCGATGGCAGCTCTACATGCCTGTCCAGACATAGGTATGCATCTTGAAGACATTTACAATGTTCTTCGATTTGCCGAAAACATTTCCAGGAATATTTTGAAGCAATTGCAATAACATATAGAGTCATAATGATGTTTTGGAATGTACGAAAAATTGTCGAGAATGCAGTTTGACAATGTCTGTAATAAACTGATTAAATGGTCTCCACCAGCGCCTTACCTTGCTTCTAGTCTGACAGTGCCGTATCGTCTTTTATGTTCTGTCTTTTAAAGCTCTACAAACCTGTCCCCGTCGTTTGATGCAAGAAAAATTCTGAAATTATGCAATCTGAGCCCAAAAACGTGAAATTATGCAATTCTGTTAATATTAACAGAGAATGATAAAGGAAAATAATAATAAATGATAAAAAATTATCAAATTTTGCTAAATTATGCGGGGTGCATAAAACCACAGGGACAGACAAACTATCTATAAGCGGGTGGTTGGCGGGTGCTCTGATGTGGTTTTCTCCTTCTTTGCTATCTAACATCTATCCTCCTGATCTCTCCTACTTCTTTTTTTTTGTGTTTGTTACTCTCTTGTAACACCTGTAATCTTCGGCACTTATATGACCTTATTGTGTTGCAAGTGCCGTAAAACTTTTACTATAACTAAAACTTAACTATAATGAGCTATGAAAGTTGTCCTGAGCTGTACGGTGTACGGATTTTTCCTCTCACAACCCTTGTTTTTGACGTAATAGTGCAGTTACTTAATGTATTAATTTATCCGCGTTAAAAGGAGGTCGCACCATGTACCAAGCCAATTATCTCACTTCAAAAACCTCTTTTTCATCTCAACCAATAGCTACTGCTATTACCCTCTTTTTACATCTGATTCAAAGTGAACATATAATTTTTCAAAAGAATGAAACAGTTTTATTTCTCTCTCCTGAAAGTGCTTTCTGCACTTGTGACATTTTATAAGCTGGTTGATATTTTGATTTATTTCTGAGGTGTGTGTGGTTTAATGTAACATATTGCCCTACTTTGGAGCTGAAGTAGCAAAGATTCCATATTTTGGTCAAATATTGTCTGGTTGACTTTACTTTTTATTTAAATTGAAGGGAAAAGGTGATAGTTTGTGGGTGGTTGGCGGGTGCTCTGGTGTGGTTTTCTCCTTCTTTCCTAACAAACATCTATCGTCCTTATCTCCCCACCTTCTTTTTTATGTTTGTTACTCTCTTGTAACTCTTCTAGTCTCCGGTACTTTTATGACCTTATTGTGTTGCAAGTGCTGCAAAACACTTACTAAAACAAAAGGTGATAATTTTTAGCAATAATATTATTAAATCAGTCTGTAAAGTTTCTGACTTATGTGTGGTTTTAATTGGTATTGACACATGTTGAAGTTATTGCAAATCTCCCCCCCCCCCCCCCCCCCCCCGTCCTCCCCTCTTCTGCCCTTCTGTTATTTCCCAGTGCCCTGTATTTGACCTTGACACTAATGTGGAGTACGAAGGAAAACACCAGACCATGTCCTCCCAGGCCGCCATGTTTCTGGAGGTAAGAGTTGTGTGTCGTCCAGAGATGGACAGAGAGAGAGAATGACAGAGACGCAGAGAGAGAGAATGAGAGAGAGGGATAATGAGAAAGAGAGACAGAGACACCGAGAGAGAATGAGAGAGAGAGCGAGATAGAGAGACAGAGACACCGATAGAGAATGAGAGAGAGAGATAGACACCGAGAGAGAATGAGAGAGAGAGAGAGAGAGATTCACGGGGCAGGTGCAATGGATGGTTTCCGGGAATAGATAGAGTTTGTTGTGGGAGAAAAATGAGCGAAGCCACGTCTGCAGGGACTGTTCACCCTGGAAGCGACCTCGTTGAATCCGAGCTCGCTGATTTAAGTACTCGTTGAATGCGTGTTATTTTTATTGATTTTAAAGAAGGAAAAAAACAGAGATTCTATCTCCTCTCGTTGAATCCAAGTTCTTGTTGTATCCGAGCTCGTTGAATCCGAGTTCCAGTGTACATCTTAATATGTGTCAGGAATTGTGATGATGATGGTGATGATGAAAATGATGGTAAGGACGATGATGATGAATATAATGATGATCATGTATTGTTTCTTGGAACATTTCAGAAAAGCGATTACCCGGACATGAACAGCTTCTATGTGGTTTTCATCACCAAACCCAACAACGAGGACTGTGAGGGGTTTGTAGAGTTCAGTCCCTTGTTGCCACCCGGGCACGCCTCGGAGGTCGTGAAAACGGTCACCGTGGAAGTGAAAGAGACCATCTCAGGTAATGTCCTCCATCTCTTTGATTGCACTGGCCGTATGTGAGGCATCGTGGTGGAATCAGGCACTAGTCAAAATAATGAAATCAAAGAAATTGGCATTTTACTAACCATTGGGCAATTTTTTTTCTAATTTTCTATTTTTGGCTCAACACCTTTTATATCTGTCTAAAAGCACATTTCTGTGTGGATTTTACTGATAAACATTGATTAGAGGCACAAAAATGACAATTTTTTTTTTTCCAAGGACTCTCAAGCTGTGGAAATGACCAAACTTTGGCTGCCATTTTCTCGCCAATTTCACCTCTGAAACTAGGCGATCCTGACCTCCAACAATCGCAGATATTTCGACTTCTATTCAACATGGATGGATATTTTTTTCACCAAAAGCAAGACAAATGAACAGGCTTTTAGCTGATACCAATAATGCCGTATGCCCAAAAATTGACGAGCGCCTGATTCCACAACGTTGTGACACATATCGTAAAAATGCCTTGTTACAGAATCCCAAAGGTAGAATTCTTCTCTGAGAGCTGGCGCACAGAAAAAGCGCTAGACATCACCCTGAAAATGTATCTGAAGGACTTCCTAATGATATGGTCGCTTATAAGAACAAGCGGGTTAACCCAGGTTTCGGGGGTTTCCAGAAATCTTGACCTGCACCAAAAGTGGGCATTGCCCTACCTATAGGGGAAGTTTGGTGTCATTGGTGTGTATATTTGTTTTGTTACAGAGAAAACTCTCCTTGTCTTTTAATGACGCTGTATGAGGATCCAAAAACTTTGCCTTCGATTTTCTCAAAACAGCATTTATCGGTATAGCGCCCTTGTGCTTAAAAGCGACCATTTAATCTCTCCACTTGAGAGAGCCTAGTTCCTGATAGACCCAGCTGAGGAGCAGCAGTCACACGGGCAGCAAATCATGAGGACAAATCAGAAATGCTGAATCCAATCCAAGAGAGTTTAGTTTTTAGTTTTAGTAGAGGTTTTACAGCGCTCGCAACTGCAGAAGGTCATATGAGCACCAAGGGATGAATGTCGACAGAGAAGTCCTTACAGGGAATCAGACTTACTCTGCACACCTCTCTAGCTTCTACAGCACAAAGTCTGCTTTGACTATCATTACACCACGGAAATAGCGGGTCACAAGAGTGTGACAAACGTATAAAAGAAGTAGAGGAAAATGATGATAGTAAGGGTTAGGAAAGGAAAAGCAGCAGTTCCCTGTTGAGGTTCAGGCAGTTATGAGCTTTACATTGTTGAATCAGCCCATTTACAATTCTATTGTGCATTAATATGAGAAATGTCCCCCCTTTTGGAATGGCCTAAAGACATTTCAGTCAGTGGCACAGCCCCGGGGGGTAATCCAAGAGAGAAGCTGCAAACATCCACAAGTGGAAGTGAAGCTTTTGAATGCTCAAAATGTGACAAAATCTTCTCTGCCAGAATTGATTTCATTGGCCATAGCAGAAACCACAAATAATGATCTGTTTTGTTTGTTTTTGTAGAGGTTTTACCTGAGATGGTCATATGAGAGCCAGAAGATTAGAGGTGTTACAAGACAGTAACAAACATAAAAAAGAAGGAGGGGCGACAAGGACGATAGATGTTTGATAGGAAAAAAGAAGCAAACCACACCAGAGCACCCGCCAACCACCCACAATAATTATCTAAACCATTATTTCTTTTATTATCTTTAAAGAAATATTGTCCTTTGTAGATGCAATGTCATCTTCGACATTGACAAACTATTATTATTGCTTCTTCTTTCCTATCAAACATCTATCGTCCTTATCTCCTCTTCTTTTTTATGTTTGTTACTCTTTTGTAACACCTCTAATCTTCTGGCGCTCATATGACCTTTTGCAGCTGTGAGCGCCGTTAAACCTATACTAAAACTGAAATAAGTTTGTTACTTTCTTGTAACAGCTCTAATCTTCTGGTGCTCATATGATCTTATTGTGTTGCAAGTACCGTAAAACTCTTACTAAATCTAACAGAAGAAACATCTCTAATCTTCAGCACTTATGTGACCTATTTGTGTTGCAAGTGCTTTAAAACTTGTACTAAAAGTGCCATAGTGGGTGGTTGGCGGGTGCCCTGGTGTGGTTTGCTTCTTCTTTCCCATCAAACATCACATCTGTCGTTCTTATCTCCTCTTCTTCTTTTTTATGTTTTTTACTTTCTTGTAACAGCTCTATTCTTCTGGCGCTCATATGACCTTATGCAGTTGCAAACGCCGTAAAACCTATACCAAAACTTAACTCTAATCTTCAGCTCTTAGGTGACGTATTTGTTTTAAAAGTGCTGTAAAACTCTTTCTAAAACTAACAGAAATATCTCAGCACTTATGTGACCTTTTTGTGTTGCAAGTGCTGTAAAACTCATCTAAAACTCCAGTAAAAGTTACTGTATGCAGTAGTGGGCGCCGTAAAACGTCTACTAAAACTAAACTTATGTTTGTTACTCTCTTGTAACACCTCTAATCTTCTGGCGCTCATATGACCTTTCGCAGTTGTGAGTGCCGTAAAACCTCTACTAAAACTAAACTCTAATCTTCAGCACTTATGTGACCCCTTATTGTGTTGTAAGTGCCGCAAAACTCTTACTAAAACAAAAACAAGAAACACGTCTTATCTTCAGCACTTATGTGACCCATTGTGTTGCAAGAACTGTAAAACTCCTACTAAAACTCATCTAAAACTTGCCTAAAAGTTTCTGTCATCCCCCAGACTCCCAGTACGACAAGGCTGTGTTTGCCACCCTGGCCGTGTTCCTCTGCTTCTACCTGATCGCCGTCGTCATTGGCTGCGTGTTTGCTGGCTGGTCAGTTTGTCTGTTTGTGTGTACTTGTTGTTGTTGTTTGTTGTTTTCAAATCCCTTTAACAGCGAACATTTCGCTCTTGGCAGCGCAGTGCCTCCCTCATGTAACCACATGTCCTTGTCATCTGGTCAACGCCAGAGTAGAGCAGGCAGACTGTGTAAGTCTGTAGGTGTGTGTAGGAGCCTTCATCGGAGACCTGCCAGGTTTGGGCAGTGAAGGAGAAGATGTTCAACGTTCTCCTCAAGGTAGTCATAGTATCTGCGATGGAGTTCCCACATGGGGTTAATTCTGTTTATGTGCTTGTTGGTGTGTAAGTGTCCTGTGCGGGCTCTGAAGATCAAAGTCTGATCGTTGTGTTTACTTATTTACGGTTTAGTTTTTTAGAGTCATTTACAGGGAGGTGGGGTTGTTTTTTGGGTTGTTGGTTTTTTTTTTTGGGGGGGGGGGGGGGGGTGAGGGATTTGGTGTGTGCTCTGTGTTGTCTGTTTCTTATTACCTCTTTCACTACCAGGGGGTTTTCCTCACCTGGACCGGGTCCTATCTGTGACCTACTTTCTGATTCTGCCTACCTTCAGACAAATGAAAAATTCTTAAGTTCAATTTTCAATATTAGCCACACGTATTAGGTACAGAAATAAAGGGGAAATAATGACCTATCTCAACAAGCTTCTGAAATCGATCATTCTTCGGCCTAAGATTTCCAATTTGACCATTACAAAAGTAGGTGTGGTTTTGAAGCAGGAAATGGAGAGCGGTGAAACACGGCTGTCGGAAGTGAAAGAGTTCATCTTATCAGTGTCATGTCACTATCATTTGAATTTGTTCCTGGAATATTGTTTTAATTAGGCTCTGTCTCTTTTTTTTAATGGGACAGATGGTTGGAGGGGACCACTTTTTGAACTCACAACTTTTTTATTGCAAGTTTGGGTAGAATTTTTATTATCTGGGTCTTTTTGCTGGGATGTTTTATCCCTATCAGCCTGGGTTGGTCCAGATAGGCAGGGTCAAATCATGCCTCCTAAATGATCTAAATTGTGTCAATGGGGGCATAAAAGCACCTACATTATTAAGTTCTCTCTCTCTCTCTCTCTCTCTCTCTCTCTCTCTCTCTCTCTCTCTCTCTTTCTCTCTCATTCTCCCTGTGGGTTGTGGGCGGGTGCTCTGGTGTGGTTTGCTTCTTCTTTCCTATCAAACATCTATCATCCTTATCTCCCCTTCTTCCTTTTAATGTTTGTTACTCTCTTGTAACACCTCTAATCTTCTGGCGCTCATATGACCTTATGTTGTTACGAGCACCATAAAATCTCTACTAAAACTAAACTCATTCTCCCTCCCTCTCTCTTAGCACATAACATGGTGACTATATGGACAAACACACACCTATACTTTTTTATTCCTTTCAGCGGACTCCGTAAAGACATCGGTGACCTTACAGAAGAAGAAAGAGGTAAGTTGGCATCGCTTTGAAGTTCATTTAAGTGCCTGATCTGAAACAGTTATCTGCAATCAAGGTTCACTGTTCAATTTTCTGCATGGATGCTCTCAAAGAAACTTACACAGGCGAACCTACCTTAACGGAAACGTTTCTAAGACAGAATGGAATCTCTCCCCTCCCCCTTGATAAATTCTTCAACTGTTGTGTGTATTTCTCTACTTTATACCCAAATGAAGAGACAAATTGGGAGTAATTTGGGATTGGGGGGGGGGGGACTGTTTCCAGTTTAAGTTTTAACTAGATCTCCTCTAGTCATTGTCTGAATTGATCAATAATACCTATGATATTAATTATGATAATTGTATATGTAGTGTATATCCATGCTTTACAGCATGCTCTTTGCTCTTTACAACTGGTATTACCCCCAGCAGACCTAGAACTCTGAGAAACTTTCTCGCTATTTCCTTGATAGTCAAAGCAGACTTTGTGCTGTTGAAGCTAGAGAGGTGAGCAGAGTAAGTCTGATTCCCTGTAAGGACTTCTATGTTGACATCCACCCTTTGACGCTCATATGACCTTATGCAGTTGCGAGCGCCGTAAAACCTCTACTAAAACTAAACTGTTATTACACCAACAGGTGTAGAACACTGAGAAACTTTCTCGGCTTCCCCGGTAGCATACAGCAAGAATTGTCTTGCCAAACACCTCCCCTTTGGGTGGTTGGAGGATGCTCTGGTGTGGTTTGCTTCTTCTTTCCTATCAAACATCTATCATCCTTATCTCCCCTTCTTCTTTTTTATGCTTGTTACTCTCTTGTAACACCTCTAATCTTCTGGCGCTCATATGACCTTATGCAGTTTCGAGTGCCGTAAAACCTCTACTCAAACTGAAACTAAAACACCTCCCCTACATTCCCTTTGCGTCATGTTATATGATTGCCTGTATCACGATGATTATTCTCTATTGGTTCTGACCCTTCCCTTTCCTGACAGAGGCGAAACAACTGCTTTTCTCAAATATCTCACCGCTACTGCCGGAGCAGAATGTCAACTCTGGTAAAAAAAAAAAACAACACTTGTATCTTTTCAGCATGTGCACCCATTTGTGGCTGGTGTTTCTTTCTAGTTTTGTTTTGTTTTGTTTGGGTTTTCTTTGACTCTACCCTCCCAGTTACAGCTGTCCTTGTTCAGTATATTAATCTATTTATATATTTACTCATCTATCTTTTTTTTCATGCGATAATTTTTTACTTTATTCATTCTCACTTACAAATCATTCAATGGATTTTGGTTTATTACATAATATAGAAGGTTTTTTTTCAATCAATTGTTTTGATTAATTGCTTCAAAGTTCCTGTCTATTTAGATCTATTTTGTTTTCGGTGTTGAAGGTTTTCTCTCAATGGGATTTTTCACCTGCACTTTGGGCATGGTATCGGTTCACTTTTTCCATTTTGAATTCTTTTCGTGTTGTATGCTCTAACATGGTCTGTCGTGCTCTCATTCTCATTGTCATGAATAATAACAGTCCTCTATCTGAAAGTAGTATGCATGCTGGTGGTTGGAGGGCGCCACTGGTATGTTCAAGTTCTTTTCTCTTCTGCTTGGTGGTTGGTGGGTGGTCTCGTGTGGTTTGCTTCTTCTTTCCTATCAAACATCTATCGTCCTTATCTCCCCTTCTTCTTTTTTATGTTTGTTACTCTCTTGTAACACCTCTAATCTTCTGGCGCTCATATGACTTTATGCAGTTGCGAGCATAGTAAAACCTCTTTTTAGTAGAGGTTTTATGGCGCTCGCAACTGCTTAAGGTCATATGAGCATGCAGGTGGTTGGAGGGCGCCTCTGGTAGGCTCAAGTTCTTTTCTCCTCCTGTGGGTGGTTGGCGGGTGCTCTGGCTCTGGTGTGGTTTGCTCCTTCTGTCCTATCAAACATGCTTCTGTCGTCCTTGTCTCACCTCCTTTTTTTGTGTTTGTTACTCTCTTGTAACACCTAATCTATTCTTCGGCACTTATACGACCTTATTGTGTTGCAAGTGCCGTAAAACTCTTGCTAAAACTTTCCCTTCCTCTGTTGTTTCTTTCTATCTGCCTTGCTTTTTACGGGTTTTTTTCTCAACCTGAAATACACACGTAACGGTCACTGTTAAAGGTGTGCTTGTCCATTAAAAAGTAAAAATGTTCCCGCATCCGGTCCGGGGATTGCCTTGTTAGTGAGACAACTTCCTGGGCCTTTGGCATAGTAGGGTGGCCTGTTCCTTTCCACGCCGCCTTTACTTCCCCATCTCGTCCATTACCCAGTCTAAATAATTACATTTTTGTAACTGTTGTAATCTGTATTTTAATTAGTTTTTAAAAAAATATTCTTACCTTTTCCAAAATCTAAATATTTTGATATTTTAAGTTGCATCTGCATCTTATTGTTATTGTTGTTGCTATTTTTTTTTGTTGGGCTTTTTTAGTCTGTTTTTTTTTTTTACTTTGTTTTTGTTTTGTTTTTTTGGGGTTGGGGTATTTTTTTTTGGGGGGGGGGGATGTTGTTAGTTTTGGGGTTTACAAAAATAGAATCAGGAGGGTGCTCCTTCCATTCTTCTCAAGTGTGCCTGAACTAAGTCTGTTTGTTTCAGTATCTGTTCCTGATGCAGACTTTCTATTAAACGTCTATTGCACTTATCTCTCCTCCTATTTTTTTCATATGTTTAATCTCTAATCTTTAGCACCTGTATGACCTATCTGTGTTGCAAGTGCAGTAAAACTCTTACTAAAACTAAACACGGTGTGGCCTTTATCATGCTGGCTCGCCACTGAGTACTACTCAAAAGCACTGTCTCAAATGTTTTTTAAACACTTATTTTTATTTGATTTACATGGTATTTGTACATATGTGTGTTTTGTTCATTACACTGATGATGTTCTGTACTGGTGTTACTGCTTCACATTTAGTCAAAATTGTGTCAAAGAAGAAGGTGGAGAAAACAAAGACAATATGGAAGAAGTGGAAAAAAAAAAGAGGAGGAAGAAGTAGCAGCAAAAGAGGACAAAAAAAAGAAGTAGGGATAATGATGATAATAATTTCATTTATTTACCACGGATCCATGCTCAACAGCATACTCTTTGCACTTTTTAACTATTAGTAGTGGAAGAAGGAGAGGTGGGTGGTTGGCGGGTGCTCAAGTGTGATTTGCTGCTTCTTTCCTATGAAACATCTATCGTCCTTATCTCCCCCTTCTTCTTTTTTATGTTTGTTACTCTCTTGTAACACCTCTAATCTTCTGGTGCTCATACGACCTTATGCTGTTGCGAGCGCCGTAAAACCTCTACTAAAACTAAATCAGAAGGAGAGGAAAAGAAAAAAGGGAATGCTTATTTAGGCCACCTATGGCCTATATACCGTGGAGGCCCCCCGGTAACATTATATAGGCCACCTATGGCCTATATACCGTGGAGGCCCCCCGGTAACATTATATAGGCCACATATGGCCTATATACCGTGGAGGCCCCCCGGTAACATTATATAGGCCACCTATGGCCTATATACCGTGGAGGCCCCCCGGTAACATTATATAGGCCACCTATGGCCTAAGTAAGGAGGAGGAGAGGACGATGAAGAATAAAAACGTTGTTGTGTGAAATATCAACGACCAGCAATAAAGGTGATGCGGATTTTCTGCGCCACAGATTACATACAGGCACTGCACAGGCCGCTGGCTGGCGTGCTGGACTCTGGGACCAGTGAGGAACAGGCGGCGATTTTGGCTCAAGGTTATCTCTATTTACCACAGCTTTTGGGTGATGGTTGGTCCAATGACTTGTACTATTGGTGTTCTACTGTACAAGTGTAATTGGTGGGATGCTCTACCGTACTCTAACCAACTTGCAAAATGCGCTAACGAATTACAGTGAAGTTCACTTAACCCTATCCGTACGTCGTGTTTTACTTTCGTATCCATACAAAGTGGGGAACTCTGTGCTACCACTTTCCAAAGAGGAAATTTACTCGATAATCTGATCTGTACGCTTTGCATAGCAGTCTGTCAAAGTGTTTTGTTGAGAAATACTTAAAGTTTCATAGAGATCTTCTTTTTTTTTTTTTCTTTTAAACTTAAAAAAAAAGCGGATGCACAATCCACTCTCAAGTATTTTAAAATGTGAAGAATACACCCTGGGCGTATAAAATGACCCCAGGGCGTACGGAAAGGGTTAAACCAAAATTGAGGGACACGCCGGATTTTCCTTGGTTTATCAGAGTTTTGTATTGGGAGGTGGCTCAAGTAGAAGAACCGCATTTGGTTTAAGTGGACTTGACTGTATCTCTGTCTACTCTACTGTCTGTGCAGTTCTGGCATGTAAGTTGTGTAGGTGGTATGACTTTTGTCTGGGTCAAAGTATTTCACTAATTGACAGCCCGTTTAAAAAGAATAAATTAACTAATCAAGGACTTAAAAAAAAGAAAAATATGGATAATCGACAATTCACTTTAAGTAGAAAATTGATCATTCTTTGTAACATTTTTAAAATACTCATGTAATTTTAGGACATAATATATTTTTACAGGAGGTAAGGAAAAAAGTCATTTTATTTATTTCTCTTTCTAAAAAGAAAAGATTTACCTTTCTCTATACTTATTGGTCGTTAGATGAAAAAACTTAAGGAGACCAGATGGCCAGATGTTCTTTTATACATTTCTCCTGGGCTTTATCTCATAATATAGGGGTGGGTAGTTGATGTATACTTCTACTGCGCTGACTACCGTTCCTCTTCTGTTTCTGTCTGTCCATCATGCTTTTTCCTTGCACAGAATGGCCGTCGTTTGTGCGTGGTTGTGCGTTGTGCTTCTCTTCACTCATACTAATATTATCTCTCATTTGGGAGACGAGACTTTGGGTTGCAAATACTAACATAACTTTTGCATGAACCTCAGTGGCTAGGGTAATTTTACTGCATGCTTTTCGTGGAGGTCAACTTTTTTTTTCAGTGGTGTGTGCTTGTGGGTGTGCAGTTTTCTGTACTTGGATTTTTTTGCCTTTTTCAAAGTGTTTTTGTGGGTGGTTGGCAGGTGCTCTGGTGTGGTTTGCTCCTTATTGCCTATCAAACATCTATCGTCCTTATCTCTCCTCCTTCTTTTTTGTGTTTTTTACTCTCTTGTAACACCTCTAATCTTTGGCACTTATATGACCTTTTGCAGTTGTAAGCGCCGTAAAACCTGTACTAAAACTTTAAAAACCTACAATTACTATGACAATTTCTATGAATGCTAACCCTCTGTTCGGTGGCTGCACTTGTAATGTGCATTTGTCTCTCCTTGTGGTTTTTTTTCCCATTTTCAAAGTTTTGTTTCTTATCTTGATTGTACTTACCTTTATCATTTCTTCCATCATCTCTAAAACTTAAATAATTTGGGGTTTTTTGTATTGTATAGAAAATGTTGAGGGTTTTCGTTACTCCTTCAGTTGTGTACTGGTTAGGATTGTGGGTGCTCTGATGTGGTTTGCTCCTTCTTTCCTATAAAAATATCTATCGTCTCTATTTCCCCCCCCCCCCTTCTTTTTTGTGTTTGTTAATCTCTTGTATCACCTCTAATCTTTGGCACGTATATATGACCTTTTCGTGTTGCAAGTGCCGTAAAACTCTTACTAAAACTATTAGGACCCCATTTTATGGAGTATCCCTCTGTCTCTCTGCTAGAATGCTGCATTCCACGCAACCATGGCTGCTCATTTCATATACAGTAATATGACGTTTGTAGATATACTTTCCTTGTGTATGTGCTTTTAGTTGAATATATGTATGCTTTTGACTTTAATTAACATTAATGTGGTAGTCCTTGTTTTCAAACCATGTGAAGCACGTAAGTATCCTCTGATTTAAGAAATAACCCCCCAAAAAAATTTATATTCCACGTTTATACAATGCCAGAGATTTTCTGAGTTTTTTGGGGGGGGGTTTTGCTGTCTCGTGTGTATATATGGGTAACCATTGATGTAGTGTACATTTGTACTTTATTTTGTTGTGCAGGAGTTTTTTGTATAGTGGTAAAACTCTTAGACTTACTGCACGAAATTTGATTCCCCTGCAGGAGAGTTATTTTAACCATATCCGTATGTCGTATTTTACTATCGTATCCATACGACGTGGGGCACTCTGTGCCACCACTTAACTCTATCCATACGTCATTTTTTACTATTGTATCCATACGACATGGGGCACTCTGTGCCACCACTTAACTCTATCCGTATGTCATCTTTTACTATCGTATCCATACGACGTTCCCTCACTTTCCAAAGAGGAAATGTACTTGTTAATCCGATCTGTACGCTTTGCATAGCAGTTTGTCAAAATGATCTTTTGAGAAATACTGAAAGTTTCAAAGAGATCTTCGTACTAGAAGTATTTTAAAATGTGAAGAATACAACCCCGGGGGTGCAAAATGACCCCAGGGCGTACGGATAGGGTTAAGCTTGTAATTTGTTTAGTCTGTCAATGCTGGCTGTCTCCCTATGTCTGTCTCCTTCTTTTATTGTGTTTGTTACTCTCTTGTAACACCTCTAATCTTCAGCACTAAAATTGTCTTATTGTGTTGCGAGTGCCGTAAAACTCTTACTAAAACTAAGGTTGTTTTTTTTCTCTAGTCTCAGAAAGTGAAGAAGATAATTTTCTGAATAGAACAGACAGCCCAGGGGGCTATGGAGCAATTCCTACAAACAGAGGTGAGTGAACAATTGGTTTTTGCAAATAAGGATATCTTATGCAACAGTGGGTGGTTGGCTGGTGCTCTGGTGTGGTTTGCTCCTTCTTTCCTATAAAAAAGTCTATCATCTCTATCTCCCCTCCTTCTTTTTTGTGTCTGTTACTCTCTTGTAACACCTCTAATCTTCAGCACTTATATGACCGTATTGTGTACAAGTGCTGTAAAACTCTTACTAAAACTAAATAAAAGGATATCTTCAGTATTCGCTAATAAAGTAAGAAGTTTCTGTACAGGACACTTATTTCAGAGGGCTACAGGGCAAAGCCTACACATAATAGTTGTAGGTAGAAAAGGAAGTATGTTTATTTTTATGATGATTATTTATGTGACTTTACCTTCCAAAAGACTTTAAATATTTTCATAGGAGAAGATACATTTCAAACGGATAAGAAGCCATTACTGCATGTAGTGGTAAGCAAAAAATATATTAATTTACAGATTAGTACAGTAGCCTCTGTTCCAATACCTGCTAATATATTTTGAGCCAAGGGCTGTCTTGTATTACCTCCATTTTTCCAGTTTTGACGTAAAATCTCTTTGAGAGCTCTTGAAATCAAATCCTGTGTTGCACTGGGGTTTGCTGCCATTGTTGTAATTCAGGAGGCAAAAGTAAAAACTCTGTTTCTTGATGAAGAAGGTTGATTTATTTAACATATAAGAAAAATGACATGAGGTCTGGCTTCACTGACAAGACTGAATCATAATGAGCACAGTGGTTAAAACAGGAAGGAGGAGTGAGTAAAGATCACTAAGAACAGACAATCTTTGTTGTGAGGGTAGATAAAATAAAAGTACAATTACAGGGACATAATTCAACTTAATCATGGTAATATAAGGACCAACAATCCAGGATTTATTGTTGCCCTTCTATATATTGATAAAAAGCAATCTAATAGTCTAACATCCAGTTGGGAAAACGGGAGTTACTAACACAGGCATGAACCGAAATAATTCTGGTATCAAGAGGAAGATTTTTGTGGCATCGGTGGCCTAGTGGGGAGGCTACCGGACTCGTAATCGTGAGGTTGCGGGTTCGTGGGCCCGACATTGTGACCTTGGGAAAGGCACTTTACATGAATTTTCCTCTCTTCACCCAAGTGGGAATGGGTACCCGGCCAGAGACAGCGAAAGATCTTGTTAGTTTGTTAGTGTTTGAGCGCTTCACCAGCTGCTTGTACTGTATGCTTCCCGGGGAGCTGAGAATATTTCTGAGTGTTCGGGCCCGTGGCTCGAACCCCCGAACCCGCAACCTCACGATTACGAGCCAGGTAGCCTAACCACTTGGCCACCGACGCCACAGTCTCATATGTATAGTCGCACAAAGGACTCAGTGGGGGAAGTTCTAGTTTTATTCTGTTGAAGTGGAAGTTGAGAGCTGTATATGAGCCAAATTGTCAATGATCTATTTCTTATATTTTACAATTTAAAAATTCTACGAACTATAAAATTGAAAAATCTTTTCTTTCCCCAGGAGGAGAGTGGGTGGTTGGCGGGTGCTCTGGTGTGGTTTGCTCCTTCTTTCCTATCATCTATTAATATCATCCTTATCTCCCCTCCTTCTATTTTGTGTTTGTTACTCTCTTGTAACACCTCAAATCTTCTGGTGCTCATAGGACCTCATGCAATTGCAAACACCGTAAAACCTCTATTAAAACTAAAAAACTAATCGTCGACACTTATATAACCTTATTGTGTTGCAAGTGCCGTAAAACTCTTACTAAAACAGACACTCTTCTCCAGGAGCCAGTAAGGAACTCGGCCCAGTACACCCAAGAGGAGCGGCCTCCAATTCCGACTCCTCTGAGGCGTATGTCAACGAGAATGACATTGATTTCCTCACTGATGCCGACAGTGAGAAGGAAGTGTTTAGAACAAAGGTGCGTGTTTGTGTGTGTGCTTGTGTGTATGTGTGTGTGTGTGTGTGTATGTGTGTGCTCGTGCCTGTGTGTGTGTGTGTGTGTGTGCGCGCTCGTGTGTGCATGTGTTTTGTGTGTGTGTGTGTGGGGGGGGGGGGGAGGTGTTTGTGTGGGCATGTGTGTGTGGGTGTTTGTGTGTGTGTTTTTGTGCATGTGCTTGTGTATGTGTGTGTGCATGTTTCATGTGTTTATGTGTGTATGTGTGTGCACATGTATGTGTGTGCGTGTGTGTGTGTGTGTGTGCATGTGTCATGTGTGTGTTTGTCATGTGTGCATGTCCTCGTGTGTGTGTGCATGTGTCGTGTGTGTGTGCGCGCGCGTGTGTGCGCGCGCGTGTGTGTGTGTGTGTGCGCTTGTGTCATGTGAGGTGTGTGTGTGTGTGCGTGTGTGTGCACGCGCGTGTATGTGTGTGACATCATTACTGTCGTCAGTGTTGGTTTTTGTGTTATTTTGGGGGTGGGGATGTGTTGTGGTAATGATGATGATGGGTGTTATGGTTGTCTCCGTTTGTGAGCTTTGGTCTGTGGGTGGTTGGCGGGTGCGGCTCTGATGTGGTTTGCTTCTTCTTTCCTATGAAACATCTATCGTCCTTTTCTCCCCTTCTTCTTTTTTATGTTTGTTACTCTCTTGTGTGTTATCATTGTCTCAGTTTGTGTATGTATGTGTGTGCATGTGTCGTGTGTGTGTGCATGTGCTTGTGTGTGTGCTCACAGGACCTTATGCAGTAGCGAGCGCTGTAAAACTCTACTAAAACTGATCTTTGGTCTGTGGGCCCAGTGTCACAGAGGTGTTCATTTTGGTGTATTATCATGTAGAAAAGAGTATGGTAAAGTATGTTTTGATTACTTAACTCTTTAAACCCGGAATTTTTTCCACCATTTCCCGAAGTTTTTTCTGCAGTCACCTAAATATGGCACACTATGTCTCATTATTGTTATAACCCCTAATTCTTGCTTGCAAATTCTAAATGGCGGAAGCAAAGTCTTAGTCATTACAAAAAAAAACTTGGGTCGGGAATAGTTCTGAAAAAAAGCAAAAACTAGCACTGAATGGAGCAAAACAATTGTCACTAGTATCGGTGGCCGAGTCTGACTTTGGCTTAGCTAGCAGCGTGCCCGTGAATATAGGGCGCTGCACAGTGGCGACCAACAGTGGCATGTTTGTAAACTGTTCTGTATTTGTGTAATATTGTCTATTTATGTATGTATGTATTTATGCATGTAGTTTAGTATGTACATATTTATAATTGGTCGCTTTTAAGGACAAGTGGGCTATCCCAAAAAATGCTGTTTTGAGAAAATCGAAGGTAAAGTTTTTGCCCCTTGTTTAGTTTCATTAAAAAACAAGGAGAGTTTTGTCTATAACCAAACAAATATACACACCATAGGTAGGGTGTAGGTCAAGATTTTTGGAAACCTCCGAAATCTGGGTCACCCCGTGTGTCCTTAAAAGCGACCAATTATGTATTTATGTTTGTATATTTATGTATGTTTGGCATTGTAAAGCAAAGTGCCCTTCTGGGACAAATAAAAGTGTAATTGTGAAACGTGCTAACAAAATGAGTTACTTTTCTCGGATTTTAGCCTTATGGAAATAGATACATCATGCTTATAGGTGAAAGTTTTTTACAATTTATAAGTATGCAATAATATAGTTTTTTCAGTTCAAATATACACTTAACAAATTCAAAGACCGCATAGAAAGACCAAATTGCACCTAGCAAATCCAAATATACAAATGACGTCATAAAATGTCATAATACAACAATAGCAAGTTCAAAATATGTAAACATAGAAATCTCAAATGTAACACATAGCAAATTCAAATGCCACATAGCAAAGTTCAAATGTAAATATGCTTGAACTAGAGTAAAAGGAGGCAAAGTGGGTGGTTGATGGGTGCTCCGGTGTGGTTTGCTCCTTCTTTCCTATCTAACATCTATCAGCCTGGTCTCTCCTCCTTCTTATTTGTGTTTGTTACTCTCTTGTAACACCTCTAATCTTTGGCACTATATGACCTTATTGTGTTGCAAGTGCCGTAAAAGTCTTTCTAAAACTAAAAAGGAGGCTAAAAGTATAATAAGTATATCAAGGTAAGAAGTAAAAGGGTTTGGGGGGGGGGGGGGGTTTGCTACGAAAAAGTTAGATGTAAGCCGTGTGGTGCCACAAGGAAGAAATCATGTGAAACGAAAGTAATAGTTAAATCATGTTAAAAGCCGAAAATAAACTCACATGTTTAACAGAAACAAATGGTTATGATACAAATCAACATACTGCTGGTATATTATAGAACTAACTGAGTGAAATCTAAAGCCAAGTTTACTTTTATTTACTTATTGTTGCACTACAAAACGCTATGGCTTATAGGCTTGCATTGATCTGAAGGCTGCTGCCGTTTTCAGTTTAGTCACAGCTTGTGTTTTTTGTTCCATCATCGGGGCAAGTGTGACCATCCTTTGTTGATGAGTCAGCTGAGTGAGCATCTGGTCTTTTGCTTCTCCGAGCCACAGTTTCAAATCGTATTTCCAAATTCACATACGTTCTCATAGATGTTAAGAAAAGATGTGTTGGGGGTAGATTATTTCTTCCCCATTCTATTGATGAGTTGCCATTTAAAGCTTGCCTTTGTGCTCAAGCGTTGTTACATACAAAGCATACTTCGTTATGGGGATTGTTGGACCAGTTTCTCAGAGGGATGGGTTGAAACGAAATCTGCCATTCCCTCTACTTGAAAGTCGTGAAAGACAAGGCCACCCTCGTCACTGACAGTTATTTAGGCCCCTATAGCATCGTGCGGTTCGATCCCTTTCGACCGTGCAGTACTCGAACAAAGCATTGACCACTCCATGCACTTCGTCGGTTTCTCTTCTTCAACAGCTTGCTACCAGCTTCCTCAATAAAGGCAAATTCATACCGCTAAATGTTCTGCATCAGCCATGCTGCCTACTGATGTCTAGTTGCTTCAGTCCTATCTGAATTACTTTCTGCTGGAGCATCCTTGGAATTTTTTAAATGGTAATCAATTCACCTTAAAATTAAACTGCTTATGGTTGTCGTCAACTCAGTTTGAGCACATTAAAATACTTTTCACACTGAATAATCTTTGCGGAGGATATTTGCTTTTGCTATGTGGCATTTGAACTAGTTATTGTGTTACATTTGGATTTGCTATTTGTACATTTGAATTTGTTACGCACAATTGTGCACTAAAATTTCCTATTGTACAATTGAACTTTCTATGTGGTGTGAAACTTTCTATATGGCATTTGAACTTGCTATGTGGCATTTGTATTTCTTATGTGTACATTTGATCTGAAAATACTATAAAAGGCATGTAGCTTATACATTAAAGAATATAATGCCGTCAGTATAAAATCTACAAATTTAACTCTAATGTTGATTTTTTTGTGGCCAATATCTCTATTTATGGATTGTAAGAAGTAACTCGTTTTGTCTGCACGCCTCACAATGTGGGTGGCTAGCGGGTGTTCTGGTGTGGTTAGCTTCTTCTTTCCTATCGAACATCTATCATCTTTATCCCCCCTCCTTCTTTTTGTGTTTGTTACCCTCTTGTAACACCTATAATCTTCGGCATTTATATGACCTTATTTTGTTGCAAGTGCCGTAAAACTCTTACTAAGACTAAACGCCTCACTATTTATTTTATTTCTATAACCCTCCCCTCCTCAGACTGCTCTTTTTGTCAGCGACCTGGCACGGAAGAAGAGGAGTAAACTGTCCAAGCTCTACAAACTGTACCATTGGTAAGAATAATAGATAGCATCTGTATAGCGCAAATACCCGCTCAACAGCAAGCTCTATGCGCTTCACAATCTATACTATTACCCCAGCAGACCTGAGAGCATTCTGAAACAACCTCAACTTCCTGGGAAGCATACAGTGCAAGCAGCTATTTATAGGCGCTAAAATACTAACATACCTGCAAGATCTTTCGCTGTCTGTGGCCAGGTACCCGTTCCCACCTGGGTGAAGTGAGGAAAATTCGTGTAAAGTGCCTTTCCCAAGGACACAACGTGGGGCCTGCGGCTCTTACCCTCGACCCCACAACCTCACGATTACGAGTCTGGTAGCCACAGAAGAAAAGGAGAACACTTTGCTCTTTTTGAAGATTTGTCTTTTGTGGCATGCACGGAAAGGGGATGCTCAATGAGTGGTTGGCGGGTGCTCTGGCGTGGTCTGCTTCTTCTTTCCTATCAAACATCTATTGTCTTTATCTCCCGTCCTTCTTTTTTATGTTCGTTACTCTCTTGTAACACCTCTAATCTTCTGGCGCTCATATGACCTTATGCTGTTGCGAGCGCCGTAAAACCTCTACTAAAACTAAAACTGAGTGACCATTATTGTGCCATTGTGCTTCTTTTTACTCAAACAAACAAAAGCGGGTAGTTGGAGGGTGCCACTAGTAGTCATTTTGCTTCTTTTCTTTTCCTCCGTTGTTTCTTATAATTTTACCTTTTCTTTATGTCACTCTACTCAAAGGGAACTTAACTGTCTTCATCCCTTTTGAGTGGCATACAAAACTGAGTGGCTAATATATTATTGTTACTCCTCTATCATAATACCTTTAACTTTTTGACAAGTTTCTTTCTCTTAGATATTTTGTCAGTTCCCCAGAAACCAATAGACTGTAGAATTGATTGTGGGTGGTTGGCGGATGCTCTGGTGAGGTTTGCTTCTTCTTCCCTATCAAACGTCTATCGTCCTTATCTCCCCTTCTTCTTTTTAATGTTTGCTACTCTCTTGTAACACCTCTGATTAGTCTGATCTTCTTGCCCTCATATGACCTTATGCAGTTGAGAGCGCCGTAAAACCTCTACTAAAACTAAAACGTAGAATTGATTTAGTTACAGAAATTCTTTGTTGGTCTCACTGTCCTTTTTTTTTCTCTGTTTCAGGAATCTTGGGACCATTGCCATCTTCTATGGACTGCCTGTTGCACAGTTGGTCCTCACTTACCAAAAGGTGTCGTATGTGTCTTGATGTTTTGCTTCCCACTGATAGAACTTGGAGTAATTCGGTTGTTTGAATTTGTTTAGTGTGCCTTAACTACAACACAGAACTGCTGCTTTTTCTTTCCTAATCCTTGTTATCGTCATTTTCCTCTACTTTTTTTGTATGTTTTGTCACACTCTTGTGACCCGCTATTTCCAGGGTGCCTTGATAGTCGAAGCAGACTTTGTGCTGTTGAAGCTAGAGAGGTGAGCAGAGTAAGGACTTCTCTGTTGACATCCACCCCTTGGCGCTCATATGACCTTATGCAGTTGCGAGCGCAGTAAAACTTTACTAAAACTAAACTAAAATGTGTTCCGGGTTATTTTGCAGGCGCAATAAAAACAGTTGAAAAGAGACACTTGAATCAACATAATGTAAGAGTCTGGAGCATGTTGGACGCTTGAAACAACAGAAAAGTCTGAGGCATCTTGGAAGCTTGAATCAACATAATGTAAGAGTCTGGAGCATGTTGGACGCTTGAAACAACAGAAAAGTCTGAGGCATCTTGGAAGCTTGAATGAACATAATGTAAGAGTCTGGAGCATGTTGGAAGCTTGAATGAACATAATGTAAGAGTCTGGAGCAGGTTGGAAGCTTGAATGAACATAATGTAAGAGTCTGGAGCATGTTGGAAGCTTGAATCAACATAATGTAAGAGTCTGGAGCACGTTGGAAGCTTGAATCAACATAATGTAAGAGTCTGGAGCATGTTGGACGCTTGAAACAACATAATGTAAGAGTCTGGAGCATCTTGCACTGGAAAAATAGTGGGCAAACAAGACAGGGTGGACCAAGAACAATTGATACAGAGAGCTTGAACAGATGGGTCATGAGGAAAGTGCTGCAATATAAGATTCTTGAGAGCATCCAAGCAGAGAAATGAGTGGCTGGCATAATTGTCGATGTCCGTTTCTGATCTAGCATTTCATGATGATGATGACGATCACCCTGCGAATGAAATTTAATCTTACGTTTATACACTCAGGTGGCTAATTTTATTAAACTTTCGTGTTTATGTATTTGTCTTTGTTTTACCTGGAATAAGAATGTACATGTGGGTGGTTGGCTGGTGCTCTGGTGTGGTTTGCTCCTTCTTTCCTATAAAAAATCTATCTTGTCTATCTCCCCTCCTTCTTTTTTGTCTTTGTTACTCTCTTGTAACACTTCTAATCTTCTGCACTTATATTACCTTATTGTGTTGCAAGTGCCGTAAACTCTTACTAACACTTTAAAAAAATAAGAACATACATCAGGTCTGTCATTACCTCAGTTTCATGTTGAGTTGGGCTATGGTACAGATGATCTTGGTTCAAATCATTATTTTTGTATATTTTTAAATTTTAGTTGTTATGTTAGTTTTTAGGACTCTTCAGTTACTTGGATGGTTCCTATAAAAGATGGACGTTGGGTTAGAGATTTAGCCTCTTTGATATCCTTAACAATGTATCGTCTAGGAAAAGTGTTAAGCAAGTAGACAGTGCCAAAGAGATAGCACAATGCTTACAACAAACAGCTCAAATTTCAGTGAACAAAAGAGGTAGATGAGGGGGGAAAAAATGCCAAAAAATTAAATATTGCCGCAAGCATGGTTTAGTGCGTCCAAAGTGCTAGACCTTGGAAAAACATAAATGACAATTTGTTTTTATTTGGTGCCTATCCCTCGCATTACAGCTCTTGTATTGATTTGGGTCTTTTTCTCGTAGTGTTTAAAGTGTTAGAATTGTGCTAGACACCAATAACATGCAGACACAAATCCGTCGCTTTTAAGGACAAGCGGGCTATCCCAGATTTCGGGGGTTCCAGAAATCTTGACCAACACCAAAAGTGGGCATTGCCCTGCCTAAAGGAGAAGTTTGGTTTCACTGATGTGTATATTTGTTTGGTTATAGAGAAAACTCTCCTTGTCTTCTAAAGAGACTGAATAAGGATCCAAAATCTTTAACTTGGATTTTCTCAAAACAGCATTTATCAGGATAGTCCTTTTGTGTTTGACTCTTTAAGCCCTGAGTTTTTTCTACAGTCACCTAAACCTGGTGCACTATGTCTCATTATAGTCCCAAAAGTTTGCCCCCAACTTCTAAATACCGGAAACTAAGTCTTAGTCATTACTAAAAAAAAACTTGGTTCGGGAATAGTTCCGAAAAACAAGCAAAAACTAACACTAAATAAAACGAAACAGTTGTCACTAGTACCGGACGCTCCCAGCATCAGATGGGGTTCTTACTTTCTTTACTTTATCCGTCCTCTTATATCTCTAGGGCGTCGAGGGGAGAAAGAGCTCCCTGTCTCTAGCAAGTTGGATGGCCTGGCTGAGTGGGATATTGAATGTTGTCAGGTTATCCTTCACACCCTGGATCCAGGTCTTTCTTGGTCTTCCTCTTGCTTTGTACCCTGATACTTTCCTGTAGTAGGCTTTACTGGCAAGTTGGTTAGCTGCCATACGTGATGGGGTTCAAAGAGTTAACTAAAAGGGTGGTTTCTTGTGAGACTGTTGAGAATTTCATGGAAGGAAAAGAAATCAAATGAAATAGTTCTGAAAGAAGCCCACGTTGGACATCCACTAACAAAGACAATTTGCGGGCAGTTGGTAGGTGCTCTGGTGCGATGGGGTTCAAAGAGTTAAAAGCGATTAATCGTGTTGTCTCCCCACAGATCCTGCGACAGACGGGGAACCAAGACCTGTGCTACTACAACTTTGCCTGTGCCCACCCCTTAGGCTCCTACATCAGCTCTTTCAACAATGTCTTCAGCAACATCGGCTACGTTCTTCTCGGCATTCTCTTCATCATCATCGTCTATTACAGGTGATGACCAACTTGTTGTTTTTACTGTCATCATCATCATCATCATCTGTTACAGGTGATAAGCAGCTTGTTGTTTTTACTCTTATCATCATCATCATCATCATCATCATCATCATCATCATCTGTTACAGGTGATAAGTAACTTGTTGTTTTTACTATCATCATCATCATCATCATCATCATCATCATCATCATCTGTTACAGGTGATAAGTAACTTGTTGTTTTTACTATCATCATCATCATCATCATCATCATCATCATCTGTTACGAGTGATCAATCCCGTATTATTTGTACCATCATAGTTGTCTGCAACAGATGATCAATAATGTATAATGTTTACTGTCATCATCATTTGTGGGTGGTTGGCAGGTGCTCTGGTGCTTTGCGCCTCCTTTCCTGTCAAACATCTATCGTCCTGATCATCTTTCTTTTTTTTTTTTTGTTACTCTCTTGTAACACCTCTAATCTTGGACACTTATATGACCTCATTGTGTTGCAAGTGCCGTAAAACACTTACTAAAGCTTCAACTGTCATCATCTTTTATTTCAGGTGATAAACCTCTAATTGTTTTTTCCATAATAATCATCTATGACAGGTGATAGATCACTTAAAGAACTCAACGAACTGATAGAATAAAAACACCAAAGACCTCATTAAACACCAAAAAAGAACAAGTAAAAACCTAAGCAGAGAAGAAAAATAAAACACACAAAAAATCAGCAAAATTAGGGGGGGGAGGGGGGGGGAACTTTTTAACTCACCAATCATGAGAAAAGGACTAAGACAAAAAAGGTCGACACACTGAGAGAAAACATGTTTAACAACTTTAAAAAACTGGACAATTTCGGATGTATGCTTCCCAGGAAGTTGAGTTTGTTTCAGAATGCTCTCAGGTCTGCTGGGGTCATAGTAGTATAGATTGTGAAGCGCATAGAGCTTGCTGTTGAGTTGGGATTTCAGCTATACAAATGCTATCTATTATTATTATTAAGATTTTTTCCAATGCTATCTATTATTATTATGTAATTCTTTTTCAGATCATGGCACAACCGTCGAGTAATTGAAAAGTATGGGGATTTGGAGCGGAAGTACGGCATCCCTCAACACTTCGGCCTGTTCTACGCCATGGGCCTGGCTCTGGTCATGGAGGGAATCATGAGCAGCTGCTACCACATCTGTCCCAACTACTCCAACTTCCAGTTTGGTCAGTTTGTACTTTAACTCTCTCTGTACCGGGGGCTCTCGTGGCCTAGAGGTTTAAGTGTTGGCCTCTCATTCAAAGGTCCTGGGTTTGAATCCGGGTAGCGACCGAAAAATTTTCTACTCTAAAATTGTCTCCTTTCACCTCCTTTCTTGCTCTCTAGCAATGTTCTGTCGTCTGCTTTCATCTCCTCTTTCTGACCCCACCCCCTCACCTCCTTTGCACCCTCCTCTGGGCTCCTGACTCTTTCTGCAGCCTTCCTACTGCTACTCCTTGGCTCCTTCTTACTGCTGTTGCGGGAAGAAAGAAACCTCTCTCTGTCGCCAGCCGGAGAGCTTGGTTCAGGGGGATGCCGTGGGTGGTTAATGTTTCCCTGACTCCATCTATCCAGGTCTTTCTCGGTCGCCCTCTAGCCTTGTTGCCATCGAATTTTTTATGTAGGCACGTTGTGCTGGATGGTGCGTTGGTAGTCGCATGAGATGTCTGAACCATTTGATTCTTTGGTGTTGGATGTGATGCATGACATCTTTTGTGCTATACAACCTACCATATTTCTGCACAGATACGTCCTTCATGTATGTGATAGCATGCCTATGTATGCTCTTTCACCTTTCTCTCTTTCTTCTTGCTTCCTCTCTCTGTCTTTCTCAACAACGTACCATATTTCTGCACAGATACTTCTTTCTTGTACGTGATAGCATGTCTATGTATGCTCATTTTCTTCTTGCTTCCTCTCTCTGTCTTTCTCACCCTAAACCACCCCTCCCCAATCTCCCCGCCCCCCCCCCCTCTCCAAATAGTAGTATTCAATATACCAAAATTCTTCACAGATACGTCCTTCATGTATGTGATAGCGTGCCTGTGTATGTTGAAGATCTACCAGGCCCGCCACCCAGACATCAACGCCAAGGCCCATGTGGCGTACTTTGTGATGGCAGTCATCATTTTCCTGGCCGTTGTCGGGGTGGTGAGTCTTTTCGTCCAACCATTAATGTGTCGCAACGCGGATGGAATCAGGCGCTAATAAATTTTTTGGCATGAGGAGTTATTGATATAATTCTCTGAAAGCTGGTTTATTTGCTTTGCTTCCAATGAAATATATATCCATTTATCTTGAATAGAACTCAAGATATTTGCGATTGAAGGAGGTGAGGTCGCCATTTTTCAGCATTGAAATTAGCGAGAAAATGGTCACCAAAGTTTGGTAACTCCAATAGCTAAACAGTCTTTGAAAACTGGAAAATGACAGATTTTGTGCCTTAAATCAATGTTTTGCAGGAAAATTCACATGGGAATGTGTTTTTATATTATGAACATACGAGAAGTTAAGCCAAAAAATAAAAATTTGATAACAATTTCCAAACTGGCGGAAAAATGCCTGTTTCTCCGATTTCGTTATTTTGACGAGCGCCTGATTCCACCACATCGTGACACATTGATCTGTTTGTTTGTTTATATGTGGCGTCAGTGGCCTCGTGGTTAGGCTCTTGGACTCGCAACTGAAGGGTCGTGGGTTCGAATCCCATCATTTCACCCAGTGACAGAGACAGATCTTGTCAGTTTGTTAATGTTTGAGCGCTTAACCAGCTGCTTGCACTGTATGCTTTCCAGGATGCCAAGAATGTTTCTGAGTGTTCTATGGTCTGCTGGGGTAATAAATCAGTGTAAAGTGCTGAAAGTGGGTGGTTGACGGGTGCTCTGGTGTGGTTTGCTTCTTTTTTCCTATCAAACATCTATCGTCTTGATCTCCCCTCCTTCTTTTTTGTGCTTGTAACACCCCTAATCTTCGGCACTTATTGTGTTGCAAGTGCCGTAAAACACTTACTAAAGCTAAAACTAAAAAGTGCATAAAGCTTGCTGTCGAGCGCGGAGATGCGCTATACACATCGTATTTATCATTTTTATTATTATTTTCCCAGTTTCTCTTTGTTACTTCGGTTTCTCCCTCCTTCATTTTTTTTCTCCCTCTCTCTCTTTCTTTCTCTTAAAGTCTATCTCTATACTTCCCCAGGTATACGATACCACGGGAATATAGATTGTCCACGCTGTAGTACATATAGTCCTCTCTCTCTCTCTCTCTCTCTCTCTCTCTCTCTCTCTCTCTCTCTTTCTCTCTCTCTCTCTCTCTCTCTCTGTCTCCCTCTCTCTCTACCTCCCTCCTTCTCACCCATGTATATAAATGATATTCCCCCCAGGTATATGGCAACACAGGACTATGGGTGGTCTACGCTGTGGTACATATAGTGCTCACCATATTTCTCACTGCACAAATCTACTACATGGGACGCTGGAAAGTTGGTACGGAAAGCAGATTTACCATTTTTATTCCCTTTTTTAATAATTAGAATTCTGAGAAAAACATGGATGGAAGAGATTTGAGGTTTTGAGCTAAAGCAGAAATAAGAATAAAGACATGCGGGGGTATTTTACCATATGCAGTTGTACCTGCCATGCGCATATATTTTCAGCTGCGCTTGTACCTCCCACCATCCCAAGAGTGTATTTTCTCAGTTTCGGGTAGACTGAATTTTTGCTTTTTCAAAACTAACGAACCTAATTAAACTTTAATTTTCATATTTGTTCATTTACTTATAAACATTGTTAGATGTTATTGTCTAGACCCCATTACAAAGAAACTACATCACTTTTTAGAATGCGTTCTTCTTTTTCTGAAATACTGCTGTGTTGGCTGGGACTTGGGTTAGGGAGTACACAAAACTGGCTGGTGCTGGAAGGGTTAAATGGCTAGCTCACATTTCCCCCTTTGCATCATTTTTACTCTATAATGACTCTGTGTAAGATGTCCACCTATCTAAGACTATGTGTCCTTATGCGCGACGCGACGTTCTGTTGCGTGCGATCATCGAGATGTATGTATCCTTATGCGCGACTATGTCGCGGCCAAATTTTCAGCCATGTTCGACAGAAGGGATAAAAGTGTCTCCTTTTGCGCTGCGCGACGTTAAGTCGAGTGCAACTGGTAAATCTCGTGCGCGACTGGCAGTTCACAACAGACAGACAATAGCAAGTTATTTTTTGCGCATAGCCTCGAGCCTTGCCTTCACTGACACACACAAACACACCCACACACACACACACACACACACACACACACACACGCGCACTCACCACACTCTGCGTATCAACCGGCACTCGTTGCTAGATATTTTGGCCAATGGTGATGCTCTAAACCTGCCACACTTCCTGTCTGTCGCACGCGACGAGACCCTCGATCGCTACATGTACCGATCGGACGCGACAGTCGTGCTTGACTTCGCGTTGCGAGTAAGGAGACCATTTCTTTATAATCTTACTTGATTGATTTTAGAGCGGCGAGAACCAGACGCGACGTTTCATCACAAGCTTTAAGAGAACCACTTTTCTCCTTGACAATGGATGGCCATCCAGGATAATTTCAACTGTAGTTTAATTTTGTTTTGTTATCTCCTTCCCAATTTTTTATAAGTTGAAAAAAATTCCTAAGTCATGGCTCTGAATTGGGAGAAAGTTTGGTTTTTTTTTTTTTCTTTGATTTTGCTGCACATGAAGAGATTGCCACTTCTGTTAATGTTTTGGACTGATGATGTGAAATTGACTGTGGGTGGTTGGCGGGTGCTCTGGTGTGGTTTGCTCCTTCTTTCCTATCAAATATCTGTCGTCCTTATCTCCCCTCTTTCTTTTTTGTGTATTTTACTCTCTTGTTAACACAGTATCTATTCTTTGGCACTTATATGACCTTTACTGTGTTGCTAGTGCCGTAATACTCGTACTAAAACTTTAAAATAACTTTTGGAATGTCTTGATAGTGACAAAATTTATCAAGAGGCGGGGACATACTATCAGTGACTTTCATCATCTCCATTAGGGCTGGCTTATGGGTTCTTAGATGTTCTGAAAGATCCAACAGGGAAACGGACATCATCGTCAGTGCAGAAAAGAGTAGACACCCTAACAGAAACTGTTGTAGTCTCTGCCTAAACGCACGCCATACAAAGGCAAGCTCCGCTCAAATGCACACTTTCATCATATGACGAGTTTATTCCACCACGTCGTGACACACATTATGTTTATAAAGTAATTATAGAGATATATATATATATATATATATAGATAGATATATATATATATGTGTGTCTTCTATTGACCTAATGTTTTTCCCCTTCAGATCGCTACATCTTCAAGCGTTTCTTCCTGGTCATAGTTTCTGACTGCCGCAGATGTTCCCGCCCTGTTTATCCTGTGAGTTTTGACGTGTGCCTATTTCTTTCTTTTTTTGTGTGTGGGTTTTTTTGTTGGTTTTTTTTTGTTTTCAAAGTTTATGTGGGTGGTTGCGGGTGCTCTGGTGTGGTTTGCTTCTTCTTTCCGATTGAACATCTGTCGTCTTTTTTCTGTTCGTTACTCTATTGTAACACCTCTAATCTTCGGCGCTTATATGACCTTATTGTGTTGCAAGTGCCGTAAAACTCCTACCAAAACTAAACTAAAACAAAGTTTACCACTCAGATCAGGGGTTGGATAGCACCACTGGTGGGTCCTACTTGTTTACTTTCCCTCCATTGTCTCTGATTATGTTACTTTTTCGCAACATTAAATGCCTGATTTTGTAGCAGTGTGCTTCTCTGTACTGCTGTCACATGCGAAAAATGTGAGTTTGATTCCTGTGTGTGGGTGGTTCGCGGGTGCTCTGGTGTGGCTTGCTTCTTTCCTATCAAACGTCTATCGTCCTTACCTCCTCTTCTTCTTTTTTATGTTTGTTACTCTCTTGTAACACCTCTAATCTTCGACATTTATATGACCTCATTTCATTGTGTTGTAAGTGCCGTTAAACTCTTACTAAAACTAAATGCTTGTTGATGAAGGAGTAAAACCTCTGTTTTTACAATAGACATAAATTCGTTTTGCAGGTGTTTAGAGGATGTCATTTGTAGGACCTACTTCTGTTTCTTTCTCTCTATTGTTTATGTTTGGTTTGTCTTGCATTGATAGGACCCTAACTGTGGCTGATCTACAACAGGGAACTGCTGCTTTTTCTTTCCTAATCCTTACTATCGTCATTTTTCCTCTACTTCTTTTGTATGTTTGTCACACTCTTGAGACCCGCTATTTCCGGGGTGCCTTGATAGTCCAAGCAGACTTTGTGCTGTTGAAGCTAGAGAGGTGAGCAGAGTAAGTCTGATTCCCTGTAGAACTTCTCTGTTGACATCCACCCCTTGGTGTTCATATGACCTTATGCAGTTGCGAGCGCCATAAAACCTCTACTATAACTAAAACTGTCTTGCCCAACACTACATATGTACATTATGTGCACGTAGCTTTATCTGCTCAAAACCCATTACATTTGACGGGACTATTTTTGAAGCCTTTATCTTATTTTGGATTTTTTTCTCTCCTCGAATCCATGACGTTTGAAAACACTTTGTATTTTTAACCTTTTATATTTTTCTACTCTTAAAACCCATTTCATTTGAAAAGTCTTTGTAATGTTTAACCATTTTTCTTATTTGGGACTTTTCACACTGTCACATAGTCTGTGGGTAGTTGGCAGGTGCTCTGGTGTGGTTTGCTTCTTCTTTCTTATCAAACATCTATCATCCTTATCTTTCCTCCTTCTTTTTTGTGTTTTTTACTCTCTTGTAACACCTCTAATCTTCGGCACTAATATGACCTTATTATTGTGTTGCAAGTGCCGTAAAACACTTACTAAAACTTTTTTTAAACCCATTACATTTGAAAAGTCTTTGTAATGTTTAACTGTTTTTTTTATTTGGAACTTTTCACACTCTGTGGGTAGTTGGCGGGTGCTCTGGTGTGGTTTGCTTCTTCTTTCCTATTAGTCATCTATCATCCTTATCTCCCCTTCTTCTTTTTTATGTTTGTTACTCTCTTGTAACACCTCTAATCTTCTGGCACTCAAATGACCTTATGCAGTTGCGAGCACCGTGAAACTTTTACAAAAACAAAAAAAAAGCACTTATATGACCTTATTGTGTTGCAAGTGCCTGAAAACTCTAACTAAAACTTAAGCTCGCTGTTTTTCTCCTCCTCAGAATCGCTTTGTTATGTTGTTGGTCGGCAATGTTGTCAACTGGGCTTTGTAAGTATCTGTAACAGCACGATAATGTTAATAATGTTGATGAATAATAATAACAGTAATAATAATAATGATAATAATTATAATGATTATTAATAATAATGATAACAATAACAGTAATGTTAATAATCGCAATAATCATAATGATTAATAATAATAATAATAATTTTGATAATAATAATAATAACAATAATCATCATAATCATCATAATCACTATGGCGTTAAACATCTATAGAGAAAGAGAAATTATAGAGAGATAGCATTTTAAAGGGACCAAAATTAAGGAAACATAGCAAGCATATTGTTTTGACCTCAACTGCCACCACTTGCCACAGATAGCGTGAAACTTGCTTTGTCCAAGTTGTAGAACACGCAAACACAGAACAAAAAAAAACTCAACACACACCCACACATGCACTAGCACACGCATACACACACGCACACACACACACACACACACACACACACACACACACACACACACACACACACACACACCCACACACACACCACCACCACCACCACCACCACCATCGTCAAATCTCTGACCATCTATCTGCCGTAATGTCCCCCCGCCCCCTCCCCTCAGTGCTTTGTACGGAGCTATAGAAAGGCCGTCTGACTTTGCCAGCTATCTGCTGGCGGTCTTCATCGGAAATCTGCTCCTTTACTGTGTTTTCTACGTCATAATGAAGGTAGGTCTGTTTCTTTGTTTTTTTGTGAGGCAGGGTGGTGAAATCAGGCACTCGTCAAAATAATCAAAGTGAAGAAACTGACATTTGACTGCAGGTTTTGGAACTTTTATCAAATTTTTGTTTTTTGGCTCAACACCTTTCATGCTCATTCAAAAACACATTTCTGGGTGGATTTTACTGAAAAATGTTGATTAAAGGCATAAAAGATGTAAATTTGTAGTTTCCACAAATTCTCAAGTTAAGGAAATAACTCAGCTTTGAATCCCATTTTCTCACTTATCTTATCTCTAAAAACCAGATGACCCCCATCTTCTTCAATCGCCAATATCTTGACTTGTGTCCTGGATAAATGGAAATTTCTTTCATGAAAAGCAAGCAAATGGACAGGCTTTAAGATGATATCAATAACTTCATATGTCTCAAAATTGACGAGGGCCTGATTCCAGCACGTCATGACACATTTGTTTGTGTGAGTTTTATGGTAGGCTTGCTTTGGGGAGGAATCCTGTATTGCTCTGTGCCTTCTACATTGTAATGGAGGGTGGTCTGTCTGTTTGTTTGTTTGTTTTTATGAGGTTGATGGCAGGTATGCTTGAGGGAGGAAAGTAAAGTTGCTCCGGCATCCGATCCGGACTTTGGGGATGCCTTGTTAGTGAGACAACTTCCTGGGATTTAGTATATTGTGGTAGGGTGGCCAGTTCCTTTCCACTCCGCCTTTACTTCTCCAACTCGAAGTCAGATACCCGTTACTGCTGGGTGGGCAGGAGGTGGCGAAAAAAATCTGTCTCCGTACGAAGGCTCGAACCAGGACTTTCCGCTTTGGAGACGAGAGCGCTACCCGCACCTAAGCCGCACCCTCTGCACTGTGTCTTGTTTGTGTGTTTGTTCATTCATTTGTTTGTGTGGCTTTCATCACAGGATTTCTAGGGGGAAGAATTTACTCTTGCACTGTATTTTCGACATCATTATGAAGTTTGGTCTGTCTGTCTGTTTGTTTGTTTGTGCGAGTTTTATCACAGGATTGCTTGATAGGTGGTTTGCGGGTGTTCTGGTGTGGTTTGCTTCTTCTTTCCTATCAAACATCTATCGTCCTTATCTCCCTCCTTCTATTTTGTGTTTGTTACTCTCTTCTAACACCTCTAATCTTCGGCACTTATAAGTTATACGACCTTATTGTGTTGCGAGTGCAGTAAAACCTCTACTAAAACTAAACTAACTAATATTTAAGTGGGGTGCTCAAAGTGAGGAGAGGAGCTACTTTTAAAAAGCTTCTCTCATTGTGAACAATGTGTCTGTAGAATTGTTCTGTATTAGTGTAATATTATGTATTTATATATATATATATATATAGATATATGTATTTATAGTTATGTATTTTAAAAACGTTTCACACCCCCTTCGTGTTCGTGGGTGATTGACGGATGCTCTGGTGGGGTTTGCTCCTTCTTTCCTGTCATGTTTCTAAATGGACATGAAAGGTATTGAGCCTTTAAAAAAAAGGGATAAAAATTGCCCAACAAGTGGAAAAATGCTGTTTCTTTGATTTTATTATTTTGATGACTGCCTGATTTCACAACGATTCCACACATGCAGTCTTTTATTTTAGCAAACTTTGCTTTTTAAAAAAAAGGAACAAATAATGCTAATTTTGTTTTATTTGGTGTGGGGGGGGGGGGGGGGGGTTGTTGTTTATTTCTTATGTTGAAATCTCAAATAGCGATAATCGGCATTGTTGTTATTGGTAAAAAGTAAAGTTGTTCCCGCTTCCGATCCGGACATTGGGGATTGCTTTGTTAGAGAAACAACTTCCTGGGTCTTTGGTATAATATGGTAGGGTGGCCAGTTTCTTTCCACACCGCCTTTACTTCCCCAACTCGAAATCAGGTACCCATCACTGCTGGGTGGGCAGGAGGGGGCGAGAAAAATGTGTCCGAAACGAGGCTCGAACCCGGACTTTCTGCTTCGGAGACGAGCGCACTAACCGCTTCGCCACCGCACCCTCATATTGTTCTTATTACCCGGTCCGTTATTATTGATATTATCTCCCTTTTCAGTTGCTGAGTAAGGAGCGGCTGAGCTGGCTGGTTATCGTGGTCATCTTGACGTCCATGGTCACGTGGGGAGGCTCACTTTACTTCTTCTTCCAGCACCTCACCTCCTGGCAGGTAATTGCTGTACACTGCACAGAGCTCTCTTTTTTTTTTTTAGTAGAGATTTTACGGCGCTTGCGTCTGCATAAGGTCATATGAGCGCCAAGAGGTGGGTGTCAACAGAGAAGTCCTTACAAGGAATCAGACTTATTCTGCTCACTTCTCTAGCTTCAACAGCACAAGGTCTGCTTCGACTATCAAGGCACCCCGGAAATAGCAGTTCACAAGAGAGGGACAAACATACAAAAGAAGTAGAGGAAAATGACAATAGTAAGGATTAGGAAAGAAAAAGCAGCAGTTCCCTGTTGTAGTTCAGGCACAGTTATGAGCGTTACATGATGAATCAGCCCGTTTACAATTCTTCTGTGCTTGAACGAGAAATGTCCCCCCCTTTGGGAATGGCCTAAAGACACTACAGTCAGTGGCACTGCCCTGGGGGGTATCAGAGCACTCTGGAAACCAGCTTTGTAGATGAGAGTATAATAGATAGCATTTGTATAGCGCAAGTCCCCGCTCAACAGCAAGCTCTATGCGCTTCACAATCTATACTATTACCCCAGCAGACCTGAGAGCATTCTGAAACAACCTCAACTTCCTGGGAAGCATACAGTGCAAGCACCCATTTATAGGCGCTAAATAACTAACATACTGACAAGATCTTTCACTGTATTTATAGCTATTATTATTATAATCATTATTGTTATGATTAGAAATCAAATGAGGTAGTCTTTGATGAAGCCCACGTGGGACGCTCAATGTTAAAAACAATCTGGAAACGACACATGCAGTTTTTGGGACACCTGAATAGACATAAAGGTCTTGAACATCTAGCTCTCACTGGCAAAATTGAAGGCAAACGAGGCAGAGGCCCAGAGCAGCCTACCTGGGGAACCTAAACAAATGGGTAACAGGGAAAGATCAGGGAAACGTAGCTTTTTTGAGAGCATCCGAGCTAAGGAATGAATGGAGAACCATGCTGGCCGATGTTTTTCGCCGATCTGACACTGGATGATGATGATTATTACTATTATTATTTTTATTGTTATTATTTTTATTATCATACTTGCAGCAGTCACATCCAAGTTCCACATGGGTTTTTTTTGCATGCGTTTAATGGCATGCCTTCAGTGGCAAACAGAAAATATGAGTTCCTTTCTCCCAAGGTTGCCGCAGCAGTGTCTGTGGTGTAGTGTATCAGCACTTCTCCTTTGCACACAGTAAATGTGAGGAGAATTTGTACCCATTATCTCTGTCACGACTGCATATTGCCTCACATTATATCAAGATTAAAACTTGTAAAGAAGACGAAACACAGAAACACAACCTCTTTGCTCGCTTTCCTGCCTGAAAACTGATTTATTGGGGGGGGGGGGGGGTTATAATGAGATCCTGTGTATATTCAAAACGAGACAATATGTCACGTGTCAGGAAGGGGAAATAATAGCAATACCAAAGAATCTTTATTGCAACATTCGCAACATAATTCATTCCCATTTTTACATTTCAAAACAACAGTCATTAAAATATCCATCTTTTTGCTGGTGCATTGTATCCCTCTCGGCCCTGGTTAGCCCGCCTCACAAGTGATGTAAATTGTTTCAATTGGGACGTAAAACACCTGCAAGTTTTGGTGTTTTTTATGTATAGAGGTAGACAGCAAGAATAGTGGGATTTTGTGGAGGGGATTTTGTGGAGGGATTCTGTGGAGGGGATTTTGTGGAGGGGATTTTGTGGAGGGATTCTGTGGAGGGGATTTTGTGGAGGGATTCTGTGGAGGGGATTTTGTGGAGGAGTTCTTTGACTCAATAGTTTTGAGTGTTGTTCTTATGTTTTTTTCTGCAGCAATTTGACTTTTGCAGGGTCCCCACAGGATCGGGAAATCGGGAAAAAGTCGGGAATTTTGAGATGGGTCGGGAGGTCGGGAAAAAGTCAGGAATTTTGTGATGGGTCGGTAAGTCGGGAAAGGCTATAGGGCCTGTGTAATGTGTAGCTATCTAGACTGTATGGTTGATGAATCCTGAAGAGGAAACGTAATTGAACCGCTGTGGTGGAAGTGTACGTGTGACACTGAGGCTCGATCGGGAAGAATCAAGATCTACTTTCGTTTTCGTTATCGCCCAGAAATTTTCCGGTAATAGTCTGATAGATAACGCAACATTTGTAACATGCAGGTTATGAATTATGAACGCTGTGTCGCCTTGAAAATAAATCAATATTAAAAATTGCCCTCTGCTGTCGCTTGTGGAAAAAAAAAAGAAAAAGAACTTAAACAACCGTCCTGACAGGTTCGCCCTCGTGACCGGTCAATGAACCTGTGAGTACCGGCGGTCTGAGCGCTGTGAAGTATAGGACTCCTTTATAAGATACACACGTGGAAGGGGATTGGGGGGGGGGGGGGGGGAGCTGAAGGCAACGCTAGAGGACAAAAACTGAACTTGGAAGCAAATTTTTAGCATTTTGATAACTACTTTAGAGCTCTCTGCAAAGCGCGCGTTGGTGCAGGCCTTGTGTGGAATCGGGATCCGTCATGCCTTGTTATTGAACTAAAGTGTTCGCGTTTCATTGAATGGGGTGATTGTAATTTATATCTATATTTTAGCTTTCTGTTCAAGATTGGCAGATTTTCAGTGTCACTGCATCTTGTGCCCCCCCCCCCTACCCCACCCCAGTTCTTGCACCTCTCACACTGAATAGGTGTACTTGAGCCATTCTAGTTATTACTCATATTACTCTTCTTTGAGTTGCAGCAATGGTTTTCGTCTTCACGTTTATTACATGAATCACGACACCCAGACTGGTTATTGACAGTCGATATTCTAGTTCTAGGTCTTTTCTCAGGCTCAAAACAAGATTCATTTTTTATATAGGGCCTATAGTTTGTTATGTTGGCTAATATGATGAGGGGAAAATATAAATAAGTAAGAACAGACTGAAATACCAAAGTCTCTCAAGATCCCAGTCCCACACTGACATGTTGTTGACTGGATATAATGTACCTACATGTGTGTGTGTGTGTGTATTCACAAACATATACATTGTACATGTATTATATTAGATATAAATGGAGCACACGCTTTCATTTGTTATGTAACGTGTTCCTGGAAAATGGATGAGGCCTCTCCCTTGGAAAATTGAGAAGCTGGGTTGGCAGTCACTCAGTATTATAGTCATCTATTGTTTGAAGACTATACTGCAAAATGTACATTTGCATTCATTTATAGACATTTTGACTTTTTATCATTGATAGATGGGCTTTTTGGGGGATCATTCTTGACGCGCAGCGGTCTGATTTTTCCCTCGAATTGGGGTCTTGAAAAAAATTTGGGGGTCTTGAAAAATTTTTCCAGGATTTGGTGGGGACCCTGCTTTTGAGTCTTTTGTTTTTCTTATTCCAGAAAACCCCTGCCGGCTCTCGGGCTGGCAATCGTGAGTGTATCCTGTTGGAATTCTACGACTCGCACGACGTGTGGCACTTCCTGTCGGCCATTAGCCTTTTCTTCTCCTTCCTGGTATGTACTATCTGTTTGAGTTTTAGTTTTAGTGGAGGTTTTACGGTGCTCGCAACTGCATAAGGTCATATGAGCACCAGAAGATTAGAGGTGTTACAAGAGAGTAACAAACACAAAAAAGAAGAAGGAGAAATAAGGATGATAGATGTTTGATAGGAAAGAAGAAGCAAACCACACCAGAGCACCCGCCAACCACCCACTAGTTGCCAAGGACAATGAAATAAGGAAATGTTTGAAAGTACTGTTTAGACCAGAGTTTTCAAACTTGAGGCTGTCCTCAGAAAATTGGCTCACAAAAAAAGCGCCATAAAATCACCCCGCAAATGTCTCTGAGGGACTTAATAATAATAGACAGCATTCGTATAGCGCAAATCCCCGCTCAACATCAAGCTCTATGCACTTCACAATCTATACTATTACCCCAGCAGACCTGAGAGCATTCTGAAACAAACTCAACTTCCTGGGAAGCAAACCGTGCAAGCAGCCATTTATAGGCGTTGAAACACTAACATACTGACAAGATCTTTATTCATTATTCAACATTGTTCCCTCAATTTTGGAGATTCCAGCTCCTGACAGAACCAGTTGGAGGGCTGCTGTCACAGTGGGCAGCGTGGGTGGTTGGCGGGTGCTCTGGTGTGGTTTGCTCTTTCTTTCCAATCAAACAAATGTCATCCTTATCTCCCCTCCTTTTTTATGTTTGTTACTCTCTTGTAGCACCTCTAATCTTCTGGCTCTCATATGACCATGTGCAGTTGCGATCGCCATAATACCTCTACTAAAACTGAAACAATGGGCAGCAAATCAAATGAAAAATGCTGATGCCTAAAGAGAAGCCCACAAGCTGCGCACATCCACAAGTGGAGATAAAACTTGGGGCTCTCGTGGCCTAAAGGTTAAGTTGTTGGCCTCTCTTACAAAGGTCCCGGGTTCGAATCCGGGTAGCGACCGAAAAAAAATTTTTCTCTGAAATTGTCTCCTTTCACCTCCTTTCCTGCTCTCTAGCAATGTTGTGTCGTCTGCTTTCGTCTCCTCTTTCTACCCCCACCCCCTCACCTCCTGTGCCCCCTCCTCTGGGCTCCTGGCTCTTTCTGCAGCCTTTGTTCTGCTACTCCTTGGCTCCTCCTTACTGCTGTCTTTCAGCCACACCCCTGATCTTCCGGTAGGAAAGATCTACACCTAGCCTTCTCGGGTAAGGGCAAAAAATCTCGGAGGGCCCGTGTGCAAGTTGCCTATGTTAAAGATCCCTTGGTAGTCTAAAATTGATAAGTGCAGGCTTCGGCAGCCACCCGCGCAAAATTCAAAAATTTCCTACCGACTGAAACAGTTTAATTAATGTGTACCCCGCTCTCATATGACCTTATGCAGTTGCAAGCGCCATAAAACACTTACCAAAAAAAAAGGGGGATAAAACCTTTTGACACTCATAATGTGGCAAACTCTACTCTGCCAGAATCAGTCTCGATGGTCATAACAGAAGCCGCAAGTCATCTTAACCTTTATTTCTTCTATTTCTCTGTGGGTGGTTGGCGGGTGCTCTGGTGTGGTTTGCTTCTTCTTTCCTAGCAAACATCTATCTTCCTTATCTCTCCTCTTCTTTTTTATGTTTGTTACTCTCTTGTAACACCGTCTAATCTTCTGGCGCCCATATGACCTAATGCAGTTGGGAACGCCGTAAAACCTGTACTTAAAAAAAAAAAAAAAAGAAAGAAAAAAAAGAACATTTCTCTGCCAGAACAATTGGTCTAGATAGTCATTGCAGAAGCACAAGTCATCTCAACTTTTATTTCATCTGTTTCCCTTAAAGGAATATTCTCCTCTGCAGATGCACTAGTTGTTGTCAGACATTGACAAACTGTTGTTAATATTATTTTTATTATTAATATTGTTATTATTGTTATTATTGTTATTATTATTGTTATTGTTGTTGTTGCAATTGTTGCTATTATTATTTTTATTATTATTATTGTTATTGTTATTTTTCTTGTTGTTATTATTATAATTGTTATTGTTAATATTATTATCAATATTAATGTTATTATTTTTTGTTATTGTCATTTTTGTAGTTATTATTAATATTATTGTTATTATTGTTGTTGTTATTTTTCCCGTCCTATTCTCCTCCCCAGATTTTACTGTTACTTGACGATGATGTGTCGCTGAAAAGGAGAGATCAGATCCCCGTGTTCTGATCACCTGCCGTGATGTGTCGTGATGTGTCGTGATGAACGTGGTGGAAGAGTCGTCAGCCCAGACTCCTCAGTGTGGGTGGTTGGCGGGTGCTCTGGTGTGGTCTGCTTCTTCTTTCCTATCAGACATCTATCGTCCTTATCTCCCCTTTTTCTTTTTTATATTTGTTACTCTCTTGTAACGCCTTTATACTTCTGGCACTCTTATGACCTTATGCAGTTGCGACTGCCGTAAAACCTCTACTAAAACAAAAAACACCACAGTAACTCAGACTTCTGATCAAAGTTACAGACAATGGTGCTTTTTTTGGTGTTTTTTTCAACAAAATTATGTATTTTATTCATTCATTGACCCTATGTGACCTATATGTGAGGCAGCGTTGTTAAATCAGGCGCTCGTCAGAATAATGAAATCGAAGAAACTGACATTTTTCTGCCGGTTTGGCTATTTTTAGCGAATTTTTGTTTTTTGGCTCAACACCATTTTTTCCAATTAAGAATACATATCTATGCGTATTTTACTGAAAAACTTTGATTTAAGGCATCGAAAATGTAAATTTTCAGTTTCCACGGACTATGAAGCTATTGAAATTACCAAACTTTGGTGGCCATTTTCTCACTAATTCAAGCTCTATAACTAGGCAACCCCACTTCCTTCAATTTTAAATATCTGGGCTTCTGTTGAAGACAGATGGGTATTTTTTTCAGCTATAGCAAGACAACTGAACAGGTGTTAAGATGATACCAATAACTTCACAGGCCTCAAAATTGACAAGCGCCTGATTTCACTGTGTCGTGACACATAAGACTAGTGCTGTTCATTATTTGTTTTCTCATGTGTTAAAGGAGGCAAGATGCGGCTATGTCAAATGGTGTGGTTGTGCCATGTGAAATACGAAGCCCCTAATTGCCATATTTTGTAGTGGCCTCTCTGGTTCTTTCTTTTGCTTTTAGTTACATTTTGTCGTATTTACCCACTGGACCTATTTGAAGGTGATTGAGTTAAGTGGTGGCACATCTCGGCAGGAAAAAAGAGATGCCCCCGACAAAATGTCCTTCTCCCAGTGAGAATTGAACTCAGGTCCTTTGTTTACAAGGATGAAGAGCTGAACCATTACATTGCAGTATTTTGTCTTAGTCTTGCTTGCGTTATGAGACCATGAGTTTAACTCTTTAAACCCCGTCAGACGCTGGGAGCGTCCAGCGGTAATAACCCATTTCCGATCGGATACCAGTGACAACTGTTTCGTTTATTTCGTGCTACTTTTTGCTTGTTTTTTTTTTAGAACTATTCCCGAACCAAGTTTTTTAGAAATGACTAAGCCTTTGTTTCCGCCATATAGAAGTTGGAGGCAAGCTTTTGTGGCTATAACTATAATGAGACATAGTGTGCCATATTTAGGTGACTGTATAAAGGAACTCAGGGAAACGGTGGAAATAACTCAGGGTTTAAAGAGTTAAGCCCTGTTGCTTAGAATTAGAATCTACCATTCCAATACTTGCGTCAGTGTCCGTAGATGTTTTATTTTTCTGATTTTGGATCACGAAGGTGTATCTTTCTTGCTATGATGTGATAAATGAATGACTCCAATTTTTTATTTTTTTTGCCAACCCAGTAAAGTAGGGTTGAATATTGTTCTCGCAACCGTGACATTATATGATATATGAACTTTAACCTAGATTTAAATACATGTTTCATTGGCTGTATTTTTATTTTTTAAATTAAATTGTAAGAGTGGGTGGTTTGTGGGTGCTCTGGTGTGGTTTGCTTCTTCTATCAAACGTCTATCGTCCTTATCTCGCCTTCTTCTTTGTTATGTTTGTTAATTGCTAATCATCTGGTGCTTATATGACCTTATGCAGTTGCAAGCACTGTATAAAACCTCTACTGAAACTATAAAGACATGGAACGAACGATTGATTGCGGTAGTGGATAGTGAGGTCTTTGCAGAATTTAAAGGGTGTTTTCAAACATTTGCAGTTTTATCTGGGTTTAAATGCACTTTGTGTATCAAAGTATTAGGAACCTTTTTTTGACAAAAAAACCCTGATTTTCCCCCCAGTTCAAGTCCGCGAGGTTCCATCATAGCACCGGCGATATATCATGAATTGTGGGGGGCGTACATATGTGAGACAGCGTGGTGAAATCAGACGCTCGTCAAAATAATGAAAGAAAAGAAACTGACACTTTTCCGCTGGTTTGGCACTTTTTATCAAAAAATTTTTTTGGGCTTCTGTGTCCATTTAAGAATCCATTTCAATGTGAATTGTATTGAAAATCGTTGATTAAAGGCACAGCAAATGTAAATTTTCATTTTCCACGGACTCTCAAGCTAAGGAAATAACTCATCTTTTGCGGCCATTTTCTCACTAATTTTACCTCTGAAAACAAGTGACCCCCACTTCCTTCATTGGCAAATATCTCGACTTCTATTCAAGGCAAATGGATTTTTTTTTTCATCCAAAGCAAGACAAATGAACAAGCTTTAAGATGATACCAATAACTCTACAGGCCCAAAAATTGACGAGAGCCTGATTCCAGCGCGTCGTGACACATTTAGCTGTGTGAACCATCGGGACATTGGAGGAACCCAAAGTAGCTCCCATTCTTCTCTTTTGTCTATGTTGTTTGTTGTTTTTGTTGTTTATTTACTTTCTATCTTGAATTTCCTTGCGGTAAATGTTGGTTATTGTGCAGATGCTTCTCTTTATTCAAACCAAACTACATGGATTGTCTCTCTCTTGCCCTTTTTAACTCCCAGTGGAACAAAGGCCATCGACATTTCTCCAGCGAAGCCTGTCCTGTGCATCCTTTTCTAGCTATTTCCATGATGTCCCTACTTTTCCATTTCCAACATGTACTGTAAAGCTGTAAATATTTATTTATTTCCTGGACGTACTCATTGTAGATTTGCTTGGTATGATTGAAGTCATATGGTTGTTTTTAAGGACAAGCAGGCTAACCCAGATTTCGGGGGTTTCCAGAAACCTTGACTTACACCAAAAGTGGGCATTGTTCTACCTATAGGTGAAGTTTGGTTTCATTGGTGTGTATATTTGATTAGTTATAGAGAAAACTCTCCTTGTCTTTTAATGAAACTGAACAAGGGGCAAAAACTTTACCTTCGATTTTCTCTAAACAGCATTTTTCGGGATATCCTGCATGTGCTTAAAAGCGACCATATGTGAGGCATCGTGATGAAATCAGACGCTTGTCAAAATAATGAAATTTTAAAAATTGGCATTTTTCTGGCCTTTGGGCTATTCTTTTTCTAATTTGCTTCTTTATTTTTGTCTCATCACCTTTTTAATTCATTTAAAAACTTATTTCTGCTAGGATTTTTACTGGCAAACATTGAGTAAAGGCATAAAAAAAATGCAAATTTCAGTTTCCACAGACTCTCAAGCTACGGAAATGACCTTTTCTCACAAATTTTATCTCTAAAACCAGGCTACCCTAACCTCCTTCAATCGCAAATATTTTATTATCTATTCGACATAGATTAATATTTTTTTCACCAAAAGCAAGGTAAATGAACAGGCCTTAAAATGATTCAAATAACCCCATTTGCCCAAAAATTGACGAGCGCCTGGTTCCACCATGTCGTGATACATATGGTTTTGCTATCTTTCATGTCACTTCATTTAATGTGCTGTTGTGTTTTCATTCTGGAAGTGGTATGTGAGCGCTTACAATGATTGTGCGCCCTCCTCCCAGTGCACTTGGCCTTCGTTAGATAAGAGTTTTTGTCATAGCTGCAGGGTGGGGTATCTTTTTTTTGTTTTGTTTCGTTTTGGGGGGTTTTTCATGGGTTTTTTTAATGTTGTTTTTATAATTGTTTGGTATTTTTAGTTGGGTTTTTTTTAGAGGGAAAGGGTTGTTGGGTGGAATTGTTTGGGAGGGAGGTCAATTCTTCTAGCTGTGTAGTTTGTTTGATATATATATTTATATCTGTAGAGTTGGAACATTATTTATAGATCTAGATGTAAAACATTTTGTTTGAGTATTTGTCTTTGTTGTCTCTGAAATTTTTTTGTTTTGGATTTTGATGTTTATCTGGACACAAGTAGGTGGCCGTGGGTGGTTGGCGGGTGCTCAGGTATTGTTTTCTCCTTCTTTCCTGCCAAACATCTATCATCCTAGTCTCTCCTCCTTCTTTTCTTGGTCTGCTACTCTCCAGTCACACTTGCAATCTGTGGGTGGTTGGCGGGTGCTCTGGTGTGGTTTTCTCCTTCTTTCCTATCAAACATCTATCTTCCTTGTGATCTCCCCTCCTTCTTTTTTGTGTTTGTTACTCTCTTGTAACACGTAAACTATTCTTCGGCATTTATATGACCTTATTGTGTTGCAAGCGCCGTAAAACGTCTACTAAAACTAAATCTTGCAATCTTGGGCACTTCACCAGTCGCTTGTCATCATGCATGGCTGAGTTTGTCCACTGGTTCCCCACTCCTTGCCACACCAGGCCTCCAACTTCCTGGATCCTTTGGCACTTCTATGACCTGTTTATGTTGCCAGTGCTGTAAGACTTATAATTATAATTATTATTATTGTTATATTAAAACTTAAACTTCGTGTAAGTGGTTCCATAGGTGCCCTTCTCACTGTGAGCTTTCTCAGGTCTTTTTTTTAGGACAAATTAATATAATGATACAAATTTCATTGTTTTAATTTTCTTTCTTTCTTTTTTTTTTGAAAGGGGGAGGGGGGAGAATGTAACTATTGCTGTATATTTCTATATTTTAAAAAAAATCTCCTCCTTTTTTATGTTTGTTACTCTCTTGTAACACCTCTAATGTTCGGCATTTATAGGACCATATTATGTTGCAAGTGCCGTAAACTTTCTAAAACTTTTAAAAAAGTGATTGATATGGTATGTTCCTAAAGAGCCATTCCATGACAGGCCCTTCGTTCAGTGATAGGCTCCACTCTCTGTGTCCACAAAGTCCTTGCCTATTGGTCTTGGAGAAGTCCATGATGCTGTATGTGCTGTAACATGTTCATAGCAGTTTCGAAATGTTTGTCTTTACCCCCCGAGGCGGTGCCACTGACTGAAGTGTCTTTAGGCCATTCCCAAAGGGGAGACATTTCTCGTTCAGGCACAGTAGAATTGTAAATGGGCTGATTCATCAATGTCACTCT